AATTCGCGAATAATTCCGTATGAACTTTCGATAGAAATTAGCGAATTCTAAGAACGATTATAGTTCCTTTAGTGTAGTCGGTTCTAGCTATTCTAGTACGCTTTTAATATAGTTAGAATCCATCTTAAGTTTCTCTTTAGTAACTATATATCTTAGAAATTTAACGTTATCTTTATAGAATTCACACTTTTTAAGTTTAACCGGTAGTTAATATTTCTAAAGAGCCTTTAGCACCTTCGTAACGTATTCTATATATTCTTCGTAGGTCTTAGAGTAAATTAAGATATTATCTAAGTAAGCGATATAAAAAATGTCTAAATATTTTCTTAACGCGTTGTTAATAAGTGTTTAGAACGTCGCTAGTACGTTAGTGAGCCCGAATAACATTATACAGTACTCGAATAGTCCGTATCGAGTTCTAAAGACTATTTTCTATTCTTCGTCTTTCTTTATACGTATACGGTAGTACGCGTCTCGAACATTTAGTGTTGTGAAGTATTACGCTTTCTTAAGCCGGTCTTAGAGCTTATTAATTCTTAGTAACGGATAGACATTCTTAATAGTAATGTCGTTTAGCTTCCGATAATCCACATATAATCGAAGCTTTCCGTCTTTCTTTAAGACGAATAGAATAAAATATTCTACTTCTAACTCTAATAGTCTAATATAGCCTTTCGCTAAATATTCTTTAAGGTACTTTCTTAAGATCTTTTACTCGGTTTCCGATAATGAGTATAATAGTCTAAATATAAAGTATTTTTCTTCTTAAAGTCGTATTTCGTAATCTTATAGTTTATATTCCGGTAGGGCCTCGATTTCTACTTTCTTTTCGAATATAGACTTTAGTCTTTCGTATTTCGGTAAGTATTCCGTTATAGTATTAGTAAATACGCGTACTAGTCGCATCTAAATAATCTTTTTAGTGTGTTTCTAAGCTAAGCTTAGCTTAGGCTCCTAGAGTTTCGCGGTGTGATCGTAATTATCGAACCGTATCTAGGTTCCGACTTAGTTAATAATCGAATTATAGTATTTTAACTAAGATATACTTAGTACTATATTATATTTTATGTTCATAATATCGAGGTTTAATTCTTCTTAATATTCGTTAATCGTTAATCGTATCGATCGTAACTCATACGTAAGTTCGAATATAATGGTGCCGTCGAATTCTATAATTATATCGGATCTCGGTCTTTTAGTCTTTTATTACGGTAGCTTCTCCGCTATTTTAGTATATACTAGGTTCCTAGTATATTCGGAGTCGATTAGAATACTAACTTCTTAGTCTTTTAATATATCTCTAAGAAATATAGATCTAGCGTTAGACCTTATAACTATATTTAGCTCGAGTCGTTAGTTTCTTCTTTTCTCTCTAGTTCTAACTAGTCGTGCGCTATCTCCGTTAGCTTTCTATCGTTAGCGCCTTCTAGAGGTATATTTTCGGTGATATAAATATCTTTAATTCTATCACCGTTTTAGTTTTTTTTTTAGTGAAGATAGTTTATTTTTCTATTTTTTAAATCGAATACTTCGTAGTTATAAGCTATATATCGTTTTATTAATTCTTTATAGATCTACTATACTTTTACGATAGTTATATCTAGCTTCTCTAACTATAGATAGTTAAGGTACTATATATATAAATAAGAAATTAGTCGTAGAGAATAGACGTAAACTATTCTATAAGAAAATAGTTCTTAAATACTAATATTAAGTAGAGTTTCCACGAGTCGAGGAACTCTAATTTCTCGTTCTCGATAGATTCTTAAGACCGCTTATATCTCTATCTCTACTTTAGTTAGTATTCGATCTATCGTTAATTAAGCTTATATCTCTTTCTTAAATATTTAGATAATCGCTACGATTTCTCTTAGATCGTCTTCTATAAGGGCCCGTAATCGGATTTCTTTTGCTAAGGTTATCTCTACTTTTCTCATTAATTTCTAAGTTTATTAAGTTCTTACTCTAATTCTTTCTACTACTTCTTAAAGAATTTATTTTAATTCTTCTTATATAAGAGATTCTAGTTCTTTCTCATATTAAGTCTTCGGTTCTTCACTAAGGTCTAAGTCGGAGTTATATTACGAATTAGCTATATTATATTTTCTTAGTACTTTCGGATCTACTTCCGATATATAAACGTTTAAGGTGTTCGGGTCGCCTCCTTAGTAGATATAAATAAAGTTTAGGTAACTTTTTTTCTATGGGCATTCATCGTTTTAGTAGACCTTCATACTAAAGATTATTTCGATTTTAGAAGAAAGATTCTCTAGTTCGTATATAGTATGGCTATATTCTAATAATATTAAAGTACAGTAAAGGTCTAAATATATCCTTCTTACCTAATATTTAGTTCGAATATATATACGCGTAGATATAATCGCTATTAATATCGCTTTCCCACTATTAATACTTTCTCCGACTACTACTATTTCTCCTTTTACTATATTAGCTTTAAAGGTAGTCGTCGCTATTTCCTTAATTTTAGATTTCTTTTCGGTAACTATAATCTACTTTTTCTTATCTTTATAGTCTTTCGCGTAATGACTTAGCTTACCGTAACTATAATAAGTCGTTTCTTTTCCTTTTCTAAGATCGGTTTTTCCTTTTCTATTTTCTTTATTATTATTACGTCTTTTTTACGCTTAGTTTAGATTTATAGATTATAGTCCGTAATAGAGTTCGCGCCTTTTCTAAGTATTAGCTTATTAAGCCCTTATCGTATAGATTTTTCGAGTGATATTGGGACGCTTATACTAATAGTATTCTTTAATATCGTTATTTTCCTTAATAGCCGTAGCTATTCATTTTTCTAGTAGTTTTTTCTCTAAATATCGAAGTTCCCACTTAATTTTTAGCTTTAATTCTTCTCGAAAGATAGAAATAGTGATATTATCTTACTAGCTAAGCTTCGTATTTAGCGTTCTAAACTTAGTTATATATTCTTAAATAGATCTAGTTTATCGGAGGCTCACTATTTTCTTTTAAGCTTTCTTTTCTTTATCTTTCGCCTCGAATATTAGTTTCACTATTTTCTTAAATTCCGTAAACGTAGCGAAGAGATTAATAGTCTCGTTCTCTCTATCATCCGCTTCGTTCTTAATATAGTTCTTAACGAAGGGTCTAAGCTAAGCCTCGGCATTACCTTCGAAGTAACTTTCTATGAAGAGTATTTTCTATAAGTTATTCTAGAAGTTAGTGAGGTTCATTAGAATATATAAATTCGTGTAGTGAATAAAGAGTATAAGTTTAGATTTCACGCCGTTAAAAGGCTTAGGTAGGTTGCTAATCTTTCCCTTAGTCACTAGTGCTGGCGCGGCGATAGTTGTTACCGTTCTTAAGGTACTTAGTATTAATCTCGGAGTACTAGTAGTAGTAGATATAGTGTCGTTAAGGGATAGTCGTGCTATGCGTCGTGCTAGTTCGTCAATGAGCGAGATAGATCGGTCGGGTCTTCCTTAGCTGCTTATAGAGGTCGTTCTCCACAATAAGGGTAGTAGCTAAAGTGTTAAGGTTCCTATCGGGGCCTAACTAGGTTAGGGTTCCTAGTAATAATCCTAATAGTGTGAACTAATTAAGAAGAACGCAAGGTATGAGAAGTCACTTATCACTAAGAACTATAAATTCAATAGTTAATATAAGTTAGCTACGAAGAGAGTATAAGCTATTTAGGGAGGAAAACGAGGGTATATATAATGCTCATACTCTGTGCGCTCTATGCGCTCTGCGCGCTCTGCTGGCAGAGCCCACAGGGCCGACAGAGCCAACAGGGTATATCACGTGGTTCAGCCTTATTCCCTTGTAGATCCTTCCATCTGTCCAATGAGTGTCTTGAGCCGCGCCTTCGCAGCCCGTGACCGGTCTCTTCCAAGGCTGTGTCTAATAACGCGTCTACGCACCAGGGAAATTATTTAAAACCTTAGTAAACAGCCAATATATACTAGCCTACATACGGATAGAAGTATAATAACTGAAATCACGTGATTTTTATATGTGAATGTAGGCTTCAACTAGATACGAAGTGGCAATGTCACTGATCGAAGGAGTGGCCCCAGAAAGCGGCTCCGACCGTAAAAGGGTTCCAACAGGCCAGGCAACAATAACCGAGTAACATGTCCCGGAAGATGATCCTTTCGAAGATGTGCAACACCAAAAATAGGGAACACGAGGGCTAAGTTGAGTGATCCTTATGCTAGAGAATTATAGTCAAGGCCCAAAGGGCCCCCCTAAGCCTGAACTGACTTCTGAGAACGGGCATCGAACAGCGCTCCCTGTGGCTCATCTACAGTAGTGCTTGAGCGCGCTCCCCCATACTTTGCCGTGGCTCCCACGACCCTCTCCCGGGGTCGGCCGAGCCTCCTCGATACTACGTCACGTGCCCGATTAAAGCGGCCTCGCTCCCTTTCCTGAACGAAAATGGCAAAGGATAAAGCACAGTTCGGGGATATATTTATATATACGTATGTATAGGTGTGTGCGGAGAACTCCAATGTCTTTTCTGGTGGCAAGAGAGTCTCCGCAGTGGTTACGTGTGAGTACGGAGGAGTTAGCCTATGGAGCGGCTTCCTACCTCATGCAAAAGGAGAGTACCTTTTCGCCGATGCCTCCCCCAAGCAGAAGACCACTCAGAGAGAGACTCGGCAAACAAAACCCCCAATCAAACAAGGTTGGGAAATGGTATAAAAATGGAAAGCGGAAAGAGTGCAGCCAGTGTAAACAGACTCTCGACAACCTAATTTCGGCGTTTGTTGTGAAATAAAAGCATCTTGGTTGTCTTGTCAATGGTCTATACAAGGTGATTTATGGACACCCAGTCCAGCAGCTTGAAAAAGAGGGGCTCGCTAGCCAAGTACATAATATTCCAAAGTCTATGTTTCTTTTCTCGCATCGCTGCTTCCGTGTTCAGTCGAGAGGGAGCATTTGCCTCTATTTCATTGGCCGCAAAGGCCGAATCAAAGAATCCCAGAAGAAAAACAAACAGAAAGGGAGACTGAGTGGTGTTACAATTCCTCTTCGACCCATCTGAGACCCCCGTCGACCTGAATGCCATCCTTCACCCATGGTAATTCTCGAATCTCGGCCAACGGTCGCCGCCGTGTATTCCTCTTCAATAATCCACCCACACACTCATGCGCACCTTCGAATTCTGCGCCCTTGACTGGATCCCATTCTCCGTCTTGGTTGCCATACTTGAACCATGCCCATTCACACCGCGCTATCCTGTGTGGTGTCCGCGCACGAAGTATGGCCGGGTCCCCACGCGCGCCAGGGAGAGGGTCAAAGGGCAGGCGTCCCTCCATTAGTGCGTATAGCAAAACACCAAGTGCCCAGGCGTCAGTTTGTCGTCCGTCGTAAGGCTGGCCCATTAATATTTCAGGGGCAGCGTAATCTTCACTTCCACACCGTGTTGTGAGGAGGGGACTTTCTGGCGGTTCGGGAATGCGGCGCGATAGGCCTAGGTCGGTAAGTGTTACAACTGCGCGATCGAGTGTTTGCCAGTCGTGCACATCAGGGTGAACGCGGACCGGAATGTTGAGAAGGACATCTGAGTCTAGTGAGCATAGAAAACAGAGTAGCGGTATTTTTTGGGGGGGTTTTTTTTGGACTTACTTTCCAGCTTAATGTCCCGATGAACGATGTACTTTTGGTGAAGATATCGCACCGCCGAGACCAGCTCGGAGAATACCCTTCGGACGAGCGATGGTGTCAGGACCTCGCGATGTTTAGACGCAACATCAAACAAGTCTCCTCCGGGACAGTAATTCATGACTAGCAGAGCACGAGCATTGTCATCATTGCCGAATGCTTTTAGATGCACCAGCGACGGATGTTGTATGGCTTTTAACAGATCCACCTCTCGTTTGAGCCCGACCTCGATCCTTTCCGCATCGGCCCCACCGGCTGGACCGTGTTCTACGACTTTGACAGCCACAAGTCGTCTGGATCGAGCGCGGACGCCTGCCATGTTTATACTGTCTTGCCTGTAATCGACGTTGTCCTTGCGGTCGTTGTCGACTTGTCGCACTGCCAAGTAGACCTTGCTGAAAGTCCCCTGGCCCAGGATCCGAATCGCTTCATAGGCTCTGGGCTCCCCGGTGGAAACACTTCGCGCGTTAAAGATTTCCAGTTTTGGCCGTTTTGCGGCTGGCTCATCTTCGTGACTCCGTTCTATCTTAATTGTTGGCTGTGGTGGTGTGAGAGGTCTAACGAGGGACTTGCTCCAACCTCTTTGTGGACCGAGGTATTCCTCCCGAAGCATAGACGTCGGAGACTCTGTGATCGCGACCGGCGCCCCAGTACTTGACACAGCAATGTTTCGGGGCTTCGGCACAGCCAAAGGTTCAGGCACATAATCACTGACGCTTCTAGTACGGGTGTGTTCGGCAGGGAGGACCTGGCCATCTGATGTACCTGGACGCGAAGGAGGAGAAGATTTCAAACCTGGATAGCCTTTATTTCGGCGAGGAGTTGTTGGTGACGAAACAAGGGGAGGGGGTAATGCTTCAGCTTTGGCGGAGGATATAGAAGAGCCACGGGATCTGGTTCTTGCGAGCGAAAGAGCCTTCCAAGACTCGAATGCGGCCATGGTCGGCGAGGGCAGCGGAGTTATATCCAGCATGGCGGCTATCTGGGGCGAAGAGATGACTGTACCGGGAGACACAGAACCAGCTGAAGAATGAAGATGAGCTCGGATACTGGGAACTCGACGCGGTATACTTGCGGCAGAGGCACTGGATCGCAATCTGTATTCTGAATCCATTGAATGGGTGGAGCTGCTACGCCCAGGACCCCCAACATCTGTCCGTATGTGAAGTCCGCTCAAGAGATGCGCTGCGTCATGGTGGATGCGCAAGGTATCGGGCGGCGAGATGTGGAGTTGTCCATTGTGGGAGACGGCCTGCTGACTTGCATTTGCTAGAAAAGCCCGTTCATTACTGTTGTTATATAGCGCCTGGTCCAAAGGATTGATTGCAGAGGTTGGGAGGGGTGGTGTCAACAAGATACGCTCGTCAGCCCATGTCTGGACATCGGAGGAAGACGACTGTCTCCCAGCCGATCCATTCTCGCTCGCTTCTTGGAGATGGAGCTGATGGGGATGGGGACGAGAGGAAGTCGAGGGCGCAGGCTGAGAGTCCGTCATATTGTATTCCTGAGTCTTTACCCAAGAGCAGGCAGTCGCCTCACTAGCAGGATCATGAGAGGTTGGGGAGGAGGGGAAGGTTGCTTCGTTGGATGAAGCTGCTCATGCTCATGGTATCGAGTTCGGAGTCCGTGACTGCGGGCGTGTATGTAGTTGAAGGAGGACCTTGCGAGGTCAGCATAGTCCTCGCTAGACTTTGGCTATGACTTTTGCCGCTACGTGTCAGCAACAACTCCGGCGAACGGGCTAAGTCTGAGAGCGAGGTTCAACGGCACGTAGAGGTCGATCGCAGGGAGGGAGGAAGGGAGGGCTGGTGGGCAGGGTGGGCGCTGATCAGGGCGTGCGGCGTGTTGGGCGTGCCAGCTCCCAGCCACGGTGCGCAGGGTTAGGCAATTGATTGAAACAAGTTCGCATCGCGTCGGGGGAGGGGGAGTGCAGCAGGCGAGAGGCGGGACAAAGCCACACGAGACAGAGCAATGAGACAATCTCCCAACGAGGCAACTTCGACGCGCAGCTAATACACCAATCAGAACGGCACAACGCTCACGTGAAGCGAAACCCGCGCTAACCTCATTTGGTCGGTGTCCGGTGTGACAGCTGGGTGGCTTTGGGGTAATATTTGAGATCTTTCCGGCAATCTCATGTAGATCATGGACCAAGCCCATGGCACCAATGATGAACCGTCCCATCAGAGCGGTAGCTCCTGTTGTACGTCAAACACGATCCGACGTTATCGGGCCAGTGGACTGTCTGCCGAAGTCCCCAAACCGAATCTTGCTGGGCTGTTTAGTAGATATGCTAGATCTACCAGAAGCGAGATCTCTTGTGCTACAGCTTTCGATCGACTGCAGTACCAGCCTTTGTGACTGGCGGCAACTCGCAAACAGGAAACTAACATTGGCTAAGATACTGACCGGGCAGTCAATTTCACACGAGTTGAAAAGAGGGAGCAAGCATTGTCACAAAAAAAAAAAAAAAAAAAATTCAAGAAAATCAAAAGCCAAACCAAAACAACGCAAGACCAGCCCTTTTTGTAGTCTCTTCTCCTTCCGACCACCAAAGTGTCCCATCTCCCTGCCGAAAACACACCTCTTCGGATATGAGGAGCCCTCCCACTGTCATGTCATGTGCTGGCTCTTTCTCCCTGTACCCTATAATCGCTGTAGACCCATGGCGGTTCTGAGCCTTGTAGGCTCGATCGCTCCTCTTCATCTCAGAAATTGACACCAATTGACCTTAATCGTCTGACCGTATCCGCAACTTGTGGTCCTGATTCTGTTAGCGTTGTGCTTAGGGGAAGCCCTGAAAGAGCATACCGGAGCCACTGTGCTCACTGGCTTCGACCACTTCAAAGATTGGAGAATGAAGACACGGCAAGACTGTAGCGGCCGCCTCTGCGCCGCCGTGGTCCATGAATGCCCTAATTGATCATCAGCAACCCATTGAAATATCCCACGGCCTTGAATCGTACGCATTCATGTCGATAATGTTGACTTTGATGCGGTAAGTGCCAGGTTGAGTAATCATGAGACCTGGGAACGTAGCATACGCGATCGGTGGTCGCTCGCCCTCCTGTTCCTCGCAGATTGCGTGTATGGAATCCGCCGTCCTCCCGCACAAAAGATCTTCTCGAGGAGGAGCTAGGCTTTCTTGCATGTCGGGAGTCGTAAGAGATAAGAAAACCCATATTCCGCTCAGATCAGGCAACGTAAAGACCTCTCCATTCTCACGCTTGTCGTCTGCGATTGGCGCTGGTCCCGAGAATGTCACTACAAGAGGGGTCCCAAGTTTGACGCCTGCTGCGACTCGGGCCGGTGGTGCGACGGCGAGTTCCATTGTGATATCCTGGGATGGCCACAGGTTCGGGCACGATCGTTCAAACAGAACCTCGGTGCGTATTAGGCCTGTCGGAAAATGATGTTTCCTAGATTTCGTTTTTCAGACTCGGGATCAGGCCGAGCGTTCTAGTAGGCTATTAGTGTAGGGTCATGGCCATGATGCGAATCTCTTACCGGTAAGGAGTTAGAAATCCAAAGCTGTGGTTTGTAATGCAATAACTGTTGGTACAGAAATAATAATATCGGTCGGCGAGCTCGTGTAAGATGGATCGAGCAGAGGAGATTAAAACTTCTCAAGAGACGCTGACGATCTTTTCTATGTTCTAAGATAAAGTCCTAGGCATGATTCATATGCAAGGGATGCTTCAGTGCAGGATAGATGGTGATCTTCATCGGGTGTGTTTATGAAGAGAGAGATAGATGCAACCGGCTTGCGCATCCGCCCTTGGAAGCCTGAAGGAGCAATACATCCACTTGTTCAGCTATGACCATTCGTCTCCAGGCGTTCGAGGCGGGATGAATGGCAGGAGACCATGGCCTAGAACACGGGACCGCGGTTGGGTGTCAATGTCTGGCGATTAGAATGCGACCTATCAATCATTCCCGGTCAACAAGGATGTCGCTTCCTCAAGAAGGGAGGGGTAGGGGCGAAATGGAGGGCTACTCGAAACCGAACTTCGACTTCGGAGGGTTCAAGCATCAGATTTTTGTTGCTGTTCCAGTGACCACCAGGTTTCGACAAGGGTAAGTCCCCAAAGGAGGGAGCGAATGGGACGAGAGAGGAGGATGTTGGACGGACAGCAGACAAGGGGATGCGCCACCACTTGCCTTGCGTAGCGAAATATTGACTATTGATAGATTCTGATGTGTTGATGCTGCAACCATCTAATCGTTGGGTTGAATTCTGCTGCGCTAGCAAAGCATGATGTCAATACCGACTTTTGTGCTGAAGCCTGATAGCGCTAAGGGGGCAAAGCGGTCGCTGATCTGGGATTTCTGTGCTGGAAAGATTTTTTTTTTATTTTTACCAGAGAATTTTGTTCGGCTGTGGGAACTTAGCTGCGCCTTGGTGTTTTAACCATGGTCACATATCTCCCAGGCCTACATTCTCACTTGGTCACAATTCTGTATGCCTCGCAATCGTGATTCGAAGACAGACTGTGGGTTCAGGCTGGTCCCTGTTTCTTCTTGGGGCTTGAGATTCTTCTCCATGATTGGCCTCTCAAACTGACTCGAATTGACTTGCAGCCAGGCCTGGGGTTCCGGGACCTGATCGACTAGTAGACAGGGATTTTGACGGGTTGGTCTGCTACACAGAATGTGCGTGGGGGAGCAGAGATCTGGTGTAACCTGCCATGAAGCCGTCACCATTGCGCTGCCAACTTCAATGGTGGGATCATGGAGGGAATTAGAGGTGTCCAGCAAAGGATTAGGCTGAGAACGCTGGATCTAAGATGCAAGGGCAGACCAAAATAGAATGCACAGTAGTGCATCGCAGTAAGGACTGCCCCTGTGCTTGCAATCGTCACCAATGCCGTATGCTCTGCAGAGCGCAAGGGGGTCATTCGCATGAAGCGATATCCGCACACTCCAGCATCCCGCTAGTCTGTAATGCAGCTAGGACGGCGCAGAAGAGGGCGGGGAGCAGAGAGTAACCCCCTCTATAGCGGGACCGCGCAAACCCCGCAAACTGAGGCAACCCGCAGAATGAGAGCCGATCAAGAAAAGGAACGGGTCCGGATGGCGGATATCAAATGGTTAAGGAATAGGGTCTTCGTGGAGGGGGTTGAGGCAAGGTTTTCCTATTCGAGGCTAAGGGAGCAGCCGAAAAGCCAAAGTGGGTGACTAGGTTCAATGCAGGATCTTGTAAACCGAGGCAGAGAGGCAAGACGGCGAGACGGGAGAGGATGGTCCTTTGACGGAACCCGAGGTGTTTGGGAACTTTGGTGTGAAGTTACGAGACAGTTTGAGGTGAATCCGACAAAAATGTTTCAGCAGGGTACGAATCGGGAGTCGGAAGAATGAACCGCTGCATTGGGGCTGCAGCAGTGCTTAATAGCCAGACCCCAAGACCTTACCGGGAATAGTGAACCTACGCGCATCACTGTTGGGCCAATTCTTACTTGAAGTTTTCCTGGTTGCTGGCCTCCCGGGCTCCCCTTAGCACCGCCCGAGGACCCCCCCCCCCCCCCCCCCCCCCCCCCCCCCCCCCCCCCCCCAATCGAGCCCTCGCAACGCCCACTCATAGCCTAACCCTGGTTTGACCACCAAATACGAGGTACACCTCGTCCACCCAATCATGACGTCTTCCACCTGTGCTTGGCATCAATTTTTTGGCGCATACACAAGCCCGCAGACCACCTCACCACTTGACCACCTCAATACCCTGCTCGACCTGCTCCCCTTCTGTTCATTGCGCTACACTACCTACCGCACTTGAGCACTACTATTTCACCTGGGCCCCTGTCGGTGCTCTCTCACTTACGTCAATTCGACCTTCTATTTTGTTAGATGGCCCTCCTCTCGTCCGATTTTCGCCAATCTGCATCAATTGATCGGCTGCGCCATCCCCCGTTTGATGAGCCTTTTGCTTGACTGCTGTACACCTCACATGCCGATCATCACCTCGTTTGACACACCCGCTAGTGTCACACAGCCTTCGCCGGTTGCCTCGTATGGCCATCCTGCGGTCCTGCTTGCCTTCAGTCCAGTATCATGTGCCGCTCAGTGTTCCCCTTTCCCTAATTGGTCAATCCATGAGCTTGGGTCATTGAGCCGAGCACGTAAGAGGAAGGGTGCCTCCGGAATCTCAGCCTTGGGTGCCAGACCCTTGGTTCGTGGAAGACTGTGATCGGCGACCGGACGTCCATTCGCTTCTTTTGACTCCCCGAGAATCTAGCAGTTGAGTCCAACGAGGCTGCTGGTATTTCAAATCTTCAACCATCCATGGCCATTTGGGACCTTTCACTCGGAAGCTGTTCTCAAGATCGAGCCGGCGATCTCCTGCCGTCCTTGCGGGGTGTCCAGCTGTGGAATCATGCATCATCATCGGTAGCACATTTCTCTCATCATGCACAGGTGCCCGGCCCTCATCTGCTCTCTTAATACGTTCCAGAGGGAAAAAAGGAAGTTCGTATTCACAATTTGCGGTACGGAAGAAGCCGTATGCTAAGGTTTTGTCGCCTTGGGGGGGTCCGTTGTCAACATCCAACCTCGAGGGTGCTTCTATCAGGACCGTCAACTTGGCACGATCCAACATCCGAAATGCCATTTTGTGCGCCACAGTCCCCTCCTCTGCATTGGCTCTCGCCGCCAGCAGACCATTTGTGACTTGTCAATGCCGACCGGATGCCGAGCCCCAGATGCTACCCTCCAGCCTTCATGCTCCTTCCGGCCAATGGCAGTTACAGGACCACTTTGCCAACGTTCATGTGAGTTGCGGTCTCACCCCGATGCAGCATATATGGGTCTTGGGATGCACAGACTTGCTCCACGTTTGGCTCATGCACTGTCGATTGACTCTCTTTGAGCATTACTGCGTTCGGATATTGCGTGGCTCGTCGGCAGCATGCTACTCCCCAAAGTCAACGTCGAGCATGGGTTCATCTCAAAGTCAGCAAATGCTCCTATGTCACCTCAGCTTCAGCAGGATGTTTCGATTTCAAGACATTTCATGCTCTTGGGCCGTTCTGTGGCAAGAAGAAACACGGCTGAGCTTCTTTACCTATCATCCCGCTCCACCAGATATGTCTGAGATGGCGCAATCCAAATTGATCGCTTACCGAATATATTCGCTTGCGCACTAATCTGTAACATCCCCGTGATTCCGTCCGGCCCACAGCTCATGGTTCTTGCTGCTAGCTTACTATGATCATAGATCCAACCTCATGGGGGCTTGTCGCTCTATCTATGCTCGACACTCTCGTTCTGGCCTCAGTCCTCCTTCCTCACTCGGGTTACTTCGCCGCGTCATCAACCGGTCCAATCCTATCGATGTGACGAGATGGGCCTGTGAAAAGGAGGACTAAAGCCACCAGGCTGATTGACTCACGCGTAACCGAGCTGGCTCATGATCGATCCATCCCCGAAAGACAAACGAGGGAAAGTCTCGAACGGGAAATTTCTGATTTGCCATGCCTTTTCGACTTCCGACTCAATCAGTCCGGGGTTCGGAAAGCCACTACATGCAAAACTGGGTGTGTGTGTTGGCCATTTTTATACATTACGCTGTCTCTCAAAGTCGAATATTCGCGGCAAACAGGAACAGCGGTCTCTGCAAACAGCCGCAAGTGTCGGCTACACTCGAATGTACTCGTTACAGTTCGTAAACACTAACTCCAGTCCTCGATCAAACCCCACTTCGATATACCTGACTTCCACCATGTCTCAGCCGCACAGTCTCCCTTCGTTGCAGAACATGCAGAGCTCGGGCTAACGCTGCTTCGCTGTACCCTCTCCCCTGAACGAATTCCCGCTTTAGAGTCGCAAGACTCGTGCTCCAACCAATCGGCAGCCGCCTTCTAAGTTCTTCTTCCACCTTGCTTACTTCCTCCATCAACTCCCTATTTCCGCTCATTCCGCCAGCACCTTCACCTTGGGACACGGCATCCATGGTACTGGCGAGGAAGAGGCGGATTGCTTCATCAACGTGGTGTTCCTCTGCTACTGGTGATAAGGTGAGTTTCGCAAGTGATTCTGTGATGCGAATGATGGCTTCGAGTTGACGGACTGTGATGGGAATGGAGGACCGGACATTGCTGTTGGCCTCAGCTCGAGCTACCCGATCTCGAATCGAGACGAAATGAGACGACAGCTTTTCGGCTGCACCAGGCGATAACCTAGGGGCACAACGGCTGGAGAAAAGTTGTTAGCAGGTTATTCATGTCCATGCACAGCGCAACAGATGCCACTTACGATTTGCAGAAGCTGATATACCGCTTCATCTTCTCTACGGGGATTTCAACCTCGGCCTGTTCCTCGACGCCCTGGTTTCCCATGTGGATGCCCATGACGTGCTTTGCGATGTTTTCGTCCCGAGTTCTATCGTGGTCGTCTCTCACGATGAAGATCATGTCGAAACGAGATAGGATGGTGGTCTGGAAGTCAATATTCTCTCCGGGAGATTTGAGGTCGTCGTAACGCCCGAAAATGGGGTTTGCAGCCGCAAGGACCGATGTCCGTGCGTTGAGGATGGTGGTGATGCCAGCTTTGGCGATGGAGATTGTTTGCTGTTCCATCGCCTCGTGGATTGCCACCCGATCTTCGTCACGCATCTTGTCGAACTCATCGATACAGACAACGCCACCATCCGCAAGGACCATGGCTCCTCCTTCAAGGTAGAATTCACGTGACTGTGTGTCCCGTTGCACTGAGGCGGTCAGACCAGCTGCCGACGAGCCCTTTCCGGAAGTGTAGATCGCAATTGGTGCCACCTTTTCGACGAATTTCAAGAGCTGAGATTTGGCCGTACCCGGGTCACCCAGAAGGAGGACGTTAATGTCACCTCTCAGTTTCATGCCGTCAGGGAGAATCTTTTTCGAGCCACCTATCAACAGACATGCAATGGCTTTCTTGATATCCATATTTCCATAGATCGAGGGGGCAATACACCGCGCGAACCGCTCGTAGAGATCTGGTAATCTGGACATTTCTTCAAACTCTTGAACTTCCTCATCTGAAAATGATGCGCCCGTGGCCGTGTGGTCGACATCCGTTTGGATCCCTACCGCTCTTAAATATGGCTGTCTCAACGCAACTGCACTATCCCTCTTTGCGCCTTTATTCTGCTGATAGATTGAAAACACGCCCATCACTGTACATCTCGATCCAGGGACGACTCGGTTCGTTAGGTACCGGTCCGCAGACACGGCGATGTGGCGTGGCAATTCACCGACGGGGACTTGGTCGGGCGCTTCCTGAAGCTTTATAATCTGTTGATCGATAAACTGTGAGGATTCGTGGACCACGAAATAAGGATCCAAAGGACACGGGTCTCCAGATTCCTGGCCGGGAATTTTCGTTCGTCCGCACTGGCGCGGGAGGGTTATGCCTGAGAAGCCGCCCTCGACGTGGAGTTGCTGCGTGTGTTCGCAGCCGCGGCACTGGATCGTCACGAGCGTGGCTTTTGAAGATAGCGTAGATGCGCCGATAATGATGCCCGGGATGCGTACGAGGTGCGAGACGTTCTGGGCCGTCAGATCACGGATCGAGGTGTGCGCGACACTCGAGTGGAGCAGGAGTTGATGTTGTGGGAGCTGAACGTCGCGGTCATGCGGGAACACGATCCGCTGTGTACATTGTTTCAATGCCGCCTCGAACAGCGGTATCACATCCGCGGGCTCGCTCGTGAGCCGGTGCGCCAGCTCTTCGTTGTATGAGATCAGATGGGCGAGGTCGACGTCGCAATAATACTGCTTTACGAGGACGTTCTGTCGGAGCTGGTCCCGGTAGATGTACACGCCGTCAAGCTGGAATGCAAGGATGAAATCCCTGAGCTTTTGTTGGAGTTCGGTCCGTGGTTCGCTCAGTTGGTCATTGTGCGCGGGGAGGACGGAGAGAGAGTAGGCAGAGCGGGAGTCGAGAGCCATGATGGAGGCTCGTTGGAACTATTTTTGGTGTGCTTGAGGTAGGGAAACGAAGCGCATTGATTTTCGCAGTGAAAAGGGAGAGGAGGGGGGAGTTTCAGTTCCGAATCGCAGTTGCGCGTGTCGACGCGTTCTTGACGCGCAAGGACGCGTTTAATTGATTTTTTGACGGCGTGCAAGACCCGAAGAACTGCCGGGGACATCTTGGCCCCTGAGACCTTTGCTGGCCCTTTCTCCTTCATCTTCATTTTATCAAAATTCTTTACGTTGAAATGCTCATTGGACCACTGTCAACTGCGCTCTTTCTGGTACAGCTTTAGTCGCTCCCCTGATGCTGGTTGGACCGCCTCCGCCTGATCGTCAAATGTAGGTCTAAAGCCGATTTATCCGTCTCATATGCGGGGAAAGGTTATCAGATACCGCTGTACGGAGTAGAGCTCGGTTTATTGTCCGATACCGCTCTTTTTTGGAGATCGCTTTTCTTTTCTGAATCATCCGCGACATGGAATACGAAGTTCTTCCAGTTTGATGGATTATGGCGAGGCTTGAACAGCTAGAAGTTGACAATAGAGGCGTCCTACAGCGTGCTCGAACAGCGACAGACTGGGATGGACCAAATGATCCTGACAACCCTCGGAACTTTTCCCTGCGCCGCCGCATATCCTCGACATTGGCAGTCACCTTTCTTGCATTTGTGAGCACACTGGCTGCCTCAGTCTACAGTCCAGCGCATGAGGACGTCTCGAGGCGATTTGGTGTGTCGGAAGAAGTCGCAATCCTTCCACTATCGCTGTACAATTTTGGTCTGGCCTTTGGACCTCCCATTGGAGCCCCTTTGAGCGAGACGTTTGGTCGCAAGGCAGTTTTCTTGACTACCACCCCGATATTCGCTTTTTTTACCCTGGGGGCGGGCTTTTCCCAGGGACCTGCATCATTGACTGTTTGCAGATTCTTTGCTGGGGTGTTTGCCTCCCCGGCTATTAGCAATGCCTCCGCAACGATCGTCGACTATACCGCCGGACGTTATAGAGCTGTCTCACTAGCATTCTACTATTCTATACCGTTCTTCGGTGCGGTATTCGGGTATGTCAATAGTTGACTTGGAGAGGTCCTGAGACTAACTCCCGGCTAGGCCTCTCCTTGGAGGGTTTGTTGTCGAGACCAGGGACTGGCGCTGGACGCAATGGGTCACACTCTTCTTCATCGTCACGTTTTACATCCCGATAATATTCACCAAAGAAACCTACAAGAAGACCATCCTCCAACGGCGAGCGAAAAGGCTCGATATCCAAGGCCCACCTCAACAACGCCGATCAATCCTTGCGTCTATCAAATACTTCTTGACAACCTTGTTTCTTCGCCCACTCCATATGCTGGTAACCGAGCCAATTGTCACCATTGTCTGCCTATATAACGGCTTTCTCTTCGGCTTGATGTACACCTTCGTCGTTGCTTCGCCCTGGGTTTTCCAGCGCTACTACGACTTTATGCTGACAGGCCAGTCCTTGTCATTTCTTGGCTTGATGGCTGGTACTGCTCTGGCGCCGTGCCCACTCATCTTGATCGACATGTACATCTACCAACCACGCTTGAAACAATTTCGCACTGTAAATTCGGAGGCTGATGACCGTTTCCCTCCTGAGCATCGACTTTATCCAAGCATGATCGCATCCTTCATTCTCCCTGTCTGTTTATTGATATTCGCATGGACAGCACATTCTGAAGTCCATTGGATTGTGCCGATCATGTTCCAGGGAATGGCATTCACCGCCACTGTGATGGTGTATGCATCTATGAACTTGTTCATGGTCGATGCCTATGGGCCTCTCTACGGCGCGTCGGCTGCCGGTGCTGCTATGCTATCGAGATATGGCCTGTCAGCGGCATTTCCCCTCTTTGCCCTGAAGTTCTACAAGGCACTCGGCGTTGGATGGGCAACTACAATCCTGGCGTTTTGCACCTTGTTAATGGCGCCGATGCCTTGGATGTTTTGGCGCCATGGGGAGTTGTTGAGGTCAAAAACGAAATATGAAACAAGCACATGATAGAGACCGATAGTAGCATGTCTCTCTTTCCGCCGTTGAGCGAGCACAATGGTGAAGGAACAAAGCAATTCCCTTGCATGACAAGGCTGCATACTATTAACAGCCGCAACATTGGGGGCCAAAGCAGGCGAACCTTGGCGGCTTGAACATCTCGAACGCTCTTTGCCCCTCTATTTTCAACGGAAGTTTGCAACCTCCATCCCGCAGCTCATGGATCACTTACCAACGGCGTCATCTGAATTTACTCACATAGAGATTCCGTTTCTGTTCGACAAAGATTGCCCTTTCATCTACGATAACCAAACCTGGGCAGAGTACCCGGTCCGAGTAGGTTGGGATCTTAGCTCATTCTCAGATGGAGACTTCACAAACAGAGGACGCAATACTCCAGACCAGGCAGCTTCATTTTTACAGGCTTGGCTCTATTTTGGCATGGTACATTGCGTGACCGGGATTCCAGTTGAAACATCCAATTTCACACGATCAACTGACCTGGGCAACCAAGTGGTGAGCTTGAGGAATTTACGGCACCATATTTCCAAATGGAAAAGGTCAGTCCGAGAATGGCCAAAGGACGAGGAATTAGCCCGTACAGCTGCCACCGACGGTTCGGTTAGAACAGTGACAGATGCGCTTCAACAATATCTCGGATGGAAGACTCCACTCTCAGACGCGGTCATACTCTCGATCAACATCCTTCTTAGGACGCTGATGCACGCCAAACGGGCCGTGCTGATTCAAAGTGACTTTGAGCCGTATCTAAGCTACTTCCAATGTTCCCGGGATGTCATCGATCAACACCTCTACAAGCGAGGTTGGTGCAGAAGAGACGTTGCCAGACATCACCAAGGTCAGTCATGTTTGGCAATGTATTTTGCGATCTCGCTAGGTCCCCGGCTCGTACCTCGAGACCATTCAGATTGCTTGATCACAGAATGCCTGGCGTTACAAGTCGACCATGCAACATACAAAAGCCAGCACACCAGTTCTGGCTGCAACTGCTCACATCTGGAAATCGACGTCCATCAAGTCTGTTCTCTGATCAACCGTGGGTTAACTCCGCTTCTGAAGCTGTCTGATTCCGATTCTGGTGTGCAACCCAAGTTAGATGTGATTGCTGGCAGTGAATACGTTTGCATTTCACATGTGTGGGCAAATGGTTTTGGCAATCTTCATGCAAATTCGATGCCTGTTTGTCAGCTGGTCCGCTTGCAGAGCCAAGTTAATGGCCTCTATAATCGTGGTTTCGTTGACGACAACGTTCCATTCTGGATAGATACGCTCTGTGTTCCAGTGCAGCCAAAAAATACCGCCACAAGGAGGCGTGCTATAGTTGCAATGCGAAACATCTACGAGAACGCAGCCAAAGTTCTCGTTGTCGATGTGGACCTTCTGAAGTCGACGACCGCTGGAGCATCAAATGAAGAAATCGCCATGAGGATCTCATATAGTGTTTGGTGGTCTAGGTTGTGGACGCTCCAGGAGGCGGTTTTTGCTAAAGAACTTCACTTCCAATTCCAAGACCGCGCCCTAGAGGGGAAAGGTTTGGTGGAACGAAGCGACAATGCGCGCAACATGTTTCCTGAATCTGGTTGGAGTGCGCCGGAGCAGATCGCTTATGAGGGACTGGCATATCTCCGCGAGCTCTATGCTCTCAAATCTTTAACTCCGGAAAGCAGAGCTGCATTTATTCTCCAGGCCGTTAACTGGCGCTCTACCAGCTGGAAGTCGGATGAACCGGTCTGTCTGGCTGGAATACTGGGCCTTAACGTTCGAGACATTCTTTCCACCCCAGACCATGATCGCTTACAACGGTTCATCCTAATGCAACGTTTGTTCCCGTCAGTGTCACTGTTTTTCTCGGGCGCAAAAATGGACGCTGAAGGCTTCCGCTGGGCGCCAAAGACTTTTGTCTTCAGCCGTGCGGGCCTGTTGCCAGCCTATCAAAAGAAATCAGACCGAGGTGGCAGTCGCTTCGAGCTACAGACGTCTCTCGCAGAGGCGGATAAATCTGGCTTGCACGTGCAATTTCCGGGCTTCAAGCTGGGATCTCTCGCGAATTGCTCGAGGGTAGGGGACCGAATCCTGTTTCAAGACGTCTTGAACGCATTCTGGTACACCTTTCGCGTAATGGACAAGACCACCGCGAAGCCTTTTCTCGACACTGATCTCGGTGACATCCCGAGCCTGGCGATTGTTCTGCCTCGGCGGCCCACCGAAGACCGAACCCTTTACTATGGAGTTTTGGTTTCCATCTATAGAGACGACGGCGGAGTCTTGCTTTCGCAGCTGGTTGCAAGGACGTCAGTGGACCAATGGGGTGCAAAAGATTTGCTATCCATCAGAGTTCTGTTAGGTATCGAACAACCGAACTCGGTCAAAAGTGTCTGCCTTCCTGAACACCAGCGATGGTGCATAGGATGAAAACGGAGTTGCCACCAGCCAGCAATCCTGCACCCCTTTGACGTGTAAGTATCGATGCTCGAAGAGTGAAGCAAAATCATATGAAGAGGCGTGTTCAGAGTAATAGTGCCATAGGGTATCAATCCTGGTCAAAGTCGAGGTTCACTTTAGCGACAGAAGTTGAAGCAAATGGACATCGACTGTGCCCCAGCATTCATCTTCTCATCTTGATTCTTGAATTTTCCAATTTTCACGCTTACCGCCCCCTCAATGACACCCACCGACCACTCATCCGCGACTTGCCTCTTCATGTTCGACAATGACTTCTACTCCCTTGGCAGACGGGGATGCCCCGCTGGTGCGCGAGCAGGCTCCCTGTTTGAACGTCGAAGTCCCACTGGTGGATTCGCTGGTTCTGTCCTTCCGACCTTTCATTTTCGTCTTTCGCATTTTTTATCCTATGCGTCTGTCAGCAAAGCTGATCTCTTCCCAGGCACGAGACCTTGGGTGGCCTTTCACGGATATTCGTCTCTTTTGTACCCTATATTACCCTCTTTGTCCTCGAACCGACCCGGGGCGAGCGTTCCCTGAGACCGATCCATACTCCCAGGATTTCGCGCAATTCTAATCACCTTCCAGATAAGGCTGGATCACCTCCCTGGTAAGGCTGGGACGAGCGGAGTGTAGGTCATAAGGACACTGACGATGAGGATACTGGACCAATAACATCCCACGACTTTCTAAATGCGCCTTACATACATGCACTAAAGAGTGGAGACTGAATCACTAATAGGAATCCTACGAACCCTATTACATCAGTTGTCTTTTCAATTACATTTGGTCCGGCCTTACTCGGTCCTGCGACCACCAATGGCCATATTTCCGCTAATCCGGCCAGCTTTATCGCATTCTCGATACACCATTCTGTTACTGGTGGATATCCGGATGTTGATGAGCTTACTGGGGCCAGACAGCCCCTCTTCGAGAAGAAAACGGGCGCTCTATTGCACAGCTGCTGGTGTAACCAGCCTCGGAAAATGGCCGTCTGGGACGGTCCGGCCGGGCGGCGGAAAGTGAAAATGAGGCGAGAGTTCGGAGGAAACCCAGTGGAATTCGCACGGTGCGAGAAAGTAACAGTATTACTCCAGACCACACCTAGTACTTACTAACGCGATACCCCCGTTGCCCGCCCGACATGAGGCTCCATGGCGCTGTTGGCAACCTGATGACACAGTGCTCGGTAATAAGCCTTCTTCCCACCTCAATTTGGTCCCTCCGTCACAGATCGGCTGTCCCTGGGTGGGGTTCATTTTGCTGCCTTACGCCGAACATGGAACATCAAAGTACCTCTCTCAGGTTTCCCAGTGTAATTCCAAAACCCATGTCTCCTTCAATTACTTCAACCAAGTTCTAGCCTTCCAGAAAGATTACGGATCTGAGTTTTCCTAAAGGCCAGCACAAGGTAGAACGTTGCACGCAAAAACCATAATCATTGCTCACTTCTCTCGGAATAGCACTGATAACGATGGGTTTCTTCGCAAGGCTCTACTCGAAGTCTTCGTATTCCAAAGTGGCACAGGACGATCTGGATGATTGCAGGGAAAAGACGACTACTTACTCTTCATCGTCTCCTTTCTTGTGTATACTACGGTCGCCCCTGCCATGGATGCTTTGCTCCTTGACACTCTTCATATGTCTGGGGTTCGTCACCAGGGCGCCGGACCCCAGAAATTGCAATCACAAAAGCGGGTTTGAGCAAGGATTTGATACAGAATTTGGTAAGGCTTTTTGAAAACATTAACCACATCACGCATGGTTCTCTCAAGTGATAGGAACTTACGCACGAAACGCAAAATAGAGCCCGCAAAGTCTACGATTGCGACGAAAAGGACCAAATTCTCTGGCACGATGAAGTACACAGACGGGGGACATCTCTACATGGACATGTCACCAGAGAACGTCCGATATTTTGGCGAGCCGTCTCCCGAAGTCGATCAGGCTTGGGCGGAGCTCATTGGACGTAAGTACTCCATGCCCCCGGAGAGCATCGCCCTTGTCGTTTCTAACACTGAGTTCAATCAGCGGCTATGCAATTCTCGATGAGTCGAGAAGAGGCTGATGCATTGGCCGTCAAATCATATGAACACCCAAAGGATGGTTTTCTTGTTACGTGGGTCCCTTTCTCTTTGAGAAGAGACTGGATCTAGGGCAGAATGCTGATAAACTACGACTGACAGTCCTGATGTCTTGCACACTCTGCACTGCGTGGTAAGTTCGAAGTCAAAAGTATAGGCAGTCAGCAGCCGCAAGACGCGCGTCGCTTACCCCGTGATAAACGTAGAATCATGTCCGCAAAATTATCGATAGCGAATACTATTTCAAGGTGCCACTACATGGCCTACCTCGAAAACAAAGAGTTCACACAGGTAAGTTCCATTTATCAAGCAACCATCTCCCCGGATCTTCTCTTCCTTTCCAAATGATAGCTATCTCAGATTCACTCCGAAGCTCACAAGTCGCGTCCGTGGAACAGATCACTGTCTAAACCACATCCGCCAAGTAATCCAGTGTCACATGGACCTGACGCCGGTGACGACCATGTATTTTGGATCGGTCAACACCGAAGTCGGGAATTTCGAGCAAGAGCACACGTGTCGGGACCTGGAGCCTCTGAGAGTATGGGCGACCAGGAGGAAGCAGGCGGATCAAGCTAGGTTGAAGGCCCTTGGTGAGGGAGGAGATGGTCACCTGGGACCCGAGCCGCTCCCAACGCACGGCTACGTTGACAATGAGGACGCTTTGTTGCCTTGGAACTCGACTCTGTCAGAGATTGATTAAGGGCACGAAAACTTCTAATACCGTTCTCTTCCCATCTCGCTACCCACAATAAGCAGAAGTGCTCGGTTTACCCGAAAGAGGTGGAGACTCAATCCTTCCTTGATCCGTCGTGTTACACCCCTCCGTGGACTCTTTTGGAGCGGCAGCTCTCCGGCAGTAAAAGTAGGAATACCTGCCGTCGAAGTGCGAACTCTCCCCCAGAACGTCAAAGCCAACCTTCCTGTAGAACTCGACGGCGTGGGGCGTCGAGACGAGATAGATAGGGAGTCGCTGCGCTGCGGCCTGATTGATGCCCCAGCTGACCAATTGTCTAGCATGGCCGCATTTCCTGTATTCCGGCTCTGTGAGGAGGAGTCGTAGATCTGTCAGCGGGCCCAACAGGAACCCATTTTGTTAGGCCACTGTCCCTCTGATTAAAAATGATGATGAGAAAAGCGGAAAAGAAAGGCATTCAGAAATCTGAAATCTTTGCCGATACCAGGGTTGTGCTTTTCTCAGCTTGTCGGAGCCCGAAAAAGAAAAATAGCTAAACTTACACCAACAATCTCCCCGGTCTCCCCAAAATTGTTTCTTTGTCCTAGCCATCACGTTCATCACCTCTTCAAAAACATCCGCCCGGGATTCGGCAGGTAACGAGGCCGATTTTCTCAGCCTTTCGTATTCGGCATGACGTTTCATCTCTGACGGCGACTGGATGCAAGTCTTTGGTGCCTCCCATATGGCGACGGCCACTAATTGCCGCAATCCGGTCGTTGTGTTGTCTCCATTAACGACTGCACGGGCTGCTGTTGTTCTATGTGAGTCTATCGAGACAGTGGCCTTGTATGCCCGTGCTAGCGGATTCTGGCCGAGAAAGAGCCTGAGCGTTTCGGTTTTCCAAGTGTACGTGGCCGCTGTGAAAAGACCCGTGGATGGGTCTGGCGGGTGGAAGGTGTCTTGGTCCAAGTTGCCGGAGAGGACGCGGGAGCAAAGGGAGACGATGGCGGGTATGTCGGAGAGTGTGACTTCTGAGATGGAGATGCTGCAGTCATCTCGTCTCTGATCCAGTGTTGTGCTTTCCATCCTATGAACAGCGATTTGAAAGAGGTCGGAGATCACACCAGAAAGCCAAAAAAAAAAACTCCCCTCGCTCGCGATGGATAATACCCGGAACGTCGTGCAGCAACAAAGGGCAGATTAAAAAAATACTGTATCGAGGGCGATGGTCCGAACGTCGAGACAATCGCCGACCTTCCAATCATCGTCACCTAAAATAACTGGGGCCCGTCTTGCCTGATATGTACCCCCTGATCCTACGGTCAGATCGAGAATATCCTAGCACACAGATTGGTGTAGGCTCTGAAATGAGTGGGCCAGATACCCTTGAAGCCCGACCCGACCGCCACGACCCATCTAAAAGCCTAATTAGGTGAGATTGCAGTATGCGCTGTAGCTACTGCAAGATCCCTCTGTAATAAACTTTCCGTGTTCGTATCATGGTTTGTGGCGTATATCATACTAGCCCGATTGGCTATTTTATACACCCTTTTGGGATAGCGCCCCATCGACCCGCCTTGTCCAATGGCAGGTACAGTCTCACTTCACACGTGACCTTGATGCGATTTGGCACATCTGCCGAGAGATTGTGCGCAGATAAGTCCGTGCCAGAGAAGAGAGACGAGCAAAAGCGGTCAAAGTCAGAATGTAATCACTCCCCTATCTGTTCGGCTCTTTAGTTACTAATCCCCGATGAAGGAGATAATGATGATCAATACGGAAGCTCCGCTCTCAGTAAACTTTACTTCAATCGTGCTGATAAGCATGGCCCGGAGCATCAGGCCCATCGGCATAGCCAAACACTCGCTTGAACTCGTCGGAGACGGGCTTTGGGGTGAAGTCTTCGGGCATCACCATGGCTCTGAACTGGTCGTTGGGAACAATTCTGCTCTCGTACCACGTCATGAGGGCGTCGAAGTTGTTGCACTTTCTGTTGATGCTGAAATCCGGGTAGGGCAGGATCTGGCCTTCGACCCATTCGCGAGTGACAATGTCGGTGCTAGCGTCGCACATGAGGTGTTGCAGAAGGACGTAGAGGCAGTGTTCTGTGTGCGCCTGGTGCAGTGCAGGCGGCTTTCCATCTCCGAATCTGTCCCTAAAGTAGTAGTCATAGTAGATTTCTTTGCGGAGCGAGTTGAGACAGTGAATCCTGTGCAGGCTGTCCAGCTCTGCGGCGTAAGCGTCAGGACCCAGGTTGAAGGACTCTGGAAATTTGGCAACGGTTTTGGGATCTTTGCCCATCCGAATAATGTCGGATGACGACACCCAGATCGTATTCTTGTTACTCAGATTGTTCCATGCCGCGTCAACTGCTGGTGATGGTGGCTGCCGAAAGATAGAGTGGTCGATATCGACATCTTCGCCTACGATTTGCTTCGTACCAAAGGTCATGTCGACTTCGTCGAGGATTGGAGCTTTTCTCTCTGTTTAGTGAGGGAACTCGTTTCGTATGTAGTATTTCTGTGGCCCTACAGTAGGTAACCATCTGTCTCAGAATTGGATTTTTGATGTTTCTCATCTTGATCCATGAAATTGTTTGCCATGACAGGATCGTCAAAGACACCGAGAACAGTAGCAAATTTGCGATCACCGCCCATTTTCCAATACGGTAGCAGTTTCGAGACAGCTCTTGCGTCTCTGAGAAAATCTCCGCTTCCCAGGATTCTTTTGCAGGAAGAAGAGGGTCCTCGCTCTCCAGATTGCCGTGTGAAGAAAGATCTGTATACTTGGAGTTCTCATCGGCCATCTTGGAGCTGTCCAAGTCCAATGATGATCGAAAAAAATATCAGAAAAAGAAAGCTGTCGAGAGAGGCTTTTGTCTGGTCGACTCGAGAATGCAAGAATTGGAGACGAAGTAAGGTAGAGTCGTGTCTCTGGTGGTGAAGAGGTGGTCATGTGCTTCCAATGCTTCTCCACAGTTCACAATCTCTACTTGTAAATGGGACAACAATTGTTTTCGACTGCTCGTGGAACCACCGGTTTGCCGGTCGCGAATGGGTACATTTCGCTGCTCAGGCATGCGCAATCCCACGTTTATCGAAACAATACGATAAGGTCAGCCCTAGGAACTGCAAAGCTTCCTCTAGCCTTCATGTCATGATGCTAGGTGTGGAGTCCTGACGTAGCGAGAGACTATTGTCTGCCCTACAAGTACACACTCTTACATGGCATTCCAATATTGATGGAGCACCAGGAATCCTTCAAACCGGTCGGGTAACCGTAGCATTGATAGTGGAGAATAGGACGTCCGATCCTTAACCCGGCTCGTTCCTTCCTCATCAGGCATTTGTCTCGCAACTATCCGCGAGTCCGGTTATAGCTTACGAATGTGTGAAAAGCTTGTATTGTCTACTCCTAAGAGAGCACTTGTTGATTTCATTCGGTAGGAGCGAGGGAAATCCAAGTCTGATTGATTGTTTGAAACTGACTAGATGGACGCCTGAACTTCTCGATAAGGCACCAATGAATGGCGACAGCTACTAGCTCCTACTTGTACCAAGAAGTGATAGCTTGTTCCTAGTATGTACTTCTGTCTCGCAGGGGTTGAATGATCGGCATTCGCTTGCCGATTCAGAAATTCTAACCGCGTTCTTCGTCTCCACCATGGCTATCCAGCCTCGTTCCCTTTCCGTACCATTTAGTCAAAGTCGATAGTGGTCTCCTCGCGTTTGTCGAAGTCAATGGTGGTTTCCTCGCGCTTGTCAAAATCGATGGTGGTTTCCTCGCGCTTGTCGAAGTCAATAGTGGTCTCCTCGCGCTTGTCGAAATCGATAGTGGTCTCCTCGCGTTTGTCGAAATCAATGGTAGTTTCTTCACGTTTGTCGAAATCGATGGTCGTCTCTTCTGGCGCACGACGAGCAACATCGAGATTGACGCTAGGGCCGCTCAAAGGTATAGCCAGAACTGCCGCGCCAACAGAAAAGAGAGCTAAGACTGAGGGCAAGTGCATATTTGCGACTTAATCCGATGATTAACGTGCGAGTTCAAAAATGTGAGATGGTCCTCCCCAGGACTGAGAAAATGGACAGGTGTTGAGGTGATGAGGAAAGGAAACTCTTGTTTCTACAAGGATATACTCTTATATAGAAAGCAGTCTTACATCGACTTGCGGAGGGTCGATTTTTTTGGGCAACTCACCGACTTTGACATGACGATGTTCGATTCAATCTAATGCGTTCACGAGGATGGAACTCCTGCAGGATCATGGCAATGACCATGTCCGAAGACACTGACTATTGCACAAGGGTGTTCCATGAATCTGACATACCAGCGTACAGTTCGAACGAGGATTTATTTAGAGTTCTACGTAGGATCTCCTTGTGTCACATCCTATGACTGTATGATCCATGATTTGTTCGGTGTAAGGCCGAAGACTGCAATCAGCACGACTGTGCATAGACGCCTATCCAGAAAAAGGCAATGGAGGAGGAGCCACTTCGCGTCGTAAAACGATGGGTAAAGATCATGTATAGTGGGCCTATGTCTATGTGTTTCGAATGTTGTGATTACAGGTACTCCCTAAATTTTCCAACGACTGGAGTGAATGGATCGCCTGAACCTGGCGTGTTCCGGAAGAATTCAGAGACTCTTCTGACACTATTCTCCCACTGCACATTCCCCAAGATTCATTCTTTTTTGACCGTCTCAGGTTCTAAAAAGATGGCCGGTTCGCAGTCGACGCTCTCTTCCAAATACTCCCCACTGCCTCAAGATGAAGAAAATGGCAACAGTGCTCCGGCCAACGAGAAGAGCTCCCAGTTTACACGCCAAACCCAACAAAGGAGGTTTTTGGCGACGCAAAAGAGCACGATTTTAGTGACTTCTATAATAATGCTCTTCATCTACTCAGTCCTAATCACCATGCATACCCTGCGTGGACCCAACATCGCACATTCTTATGAAACAGGATGGGCTACTGAACTAGGTGAGCCCGTTGATCCTTCTATTCAACGTAGTGCACAGAAATGCTGAAATTGAAGCTAGGGACGGCAGCCCAAAAGATCTCTATCGAAACACGAAAGTTCACCGGTGACCTGCATTTCCATCCCAACGGATCGTCGTATCTAGCTCGTGAGCCTGATCAAATCCAATACGTTGGCTCCCCGAGCCCAAAGATTGATCAAAACTGGGCAGACTTGATCAACGGTTTGGGCCTCGAGATTCAGAAGCGATTTTAATCAAGAGATACTGACAAGATGGTAGACCGGTATTTCTATTTGTCTGAATCAGAGGCCTTGAGCGTCTGGGGCCCGGACTTCGATGGCTATTATGACATAGTTGATGGCCAAAAGCAATACGTTGGAGGGTAAGTTTTATGCTCAGTTACTGAGTCCGTGTGTTTGAAGCCGCTACTCTTACTCTAATAGACTCGACATCTTACATACCTTACACTGTGTGGTAAGAGTATGAGGCCCCGCTCCTGATTAGCGTTGCTAAAAGCTGTGCACAGAACACGTTGAGGCAACATCTTGATTTGGATTACTACATGAAACAAGACATCCATCATCCTTCCCAGATACACAACTGTAAGTTACTTTGGATCTCTGCCATGGCTCTTGATGGGACACATCCAGCTGAATTCTAGATGTTCGAGTCTCTAATGTGAACAACAGATCATTGCATCGACCAGATCCGCCAGTACCTTATGTGCAACGGTGATCTGACACCCGTACCAACACGATGGCATGAAGGAAGGGGCAGTATATACGTGGAATCTAATATGGTTCACACATGCCGAAATTTCGACTCGATTTTGGGATGGGTTAAGCGTCGAGATCTTGTGTACTGATGAATTAAACGTCTCAATGGCAATAAATACATTTCGACTCTACCTCTCCGTAAGACAACCCCTTATTGAAATGACCAGCTCTGCGAAAATTATTTGGTTGGACCGTAGAGGAGTCCCGACTTTTGGGAGTGCTGCAAGGGAGAGTTCAGAAGGATAATGACCTGTAGCTAGGTTCCTCTCCGAGTCATCCGCTGCTGTCCCATCGCGATCACGAAAATAATGTACGATACCTAAGTTAGCTAACATAGGCACCCCAAGTGGGTAGTCTGAAAGATGCTATAACCAAATCGATTCTGTTGGCTACTAATAGGAGAAGTATCACACTTGGTCGAATGTGCAAGGCTGAGATTGCGCCCCAGCCCTAAAGTGTAACTTTGAAGACGCCGCTTTTAAAATCTATTCATTTTCATTGGACATGCTCATAGCCTTGCGAGATAACCGTGGCTGCCCACATCAAGGGCCAGTCACAGCCGTTATCGACGATGACTCCAACCAGGGGCTGTCACAGGGCGGCATCACTCTCATCCCAAAGAGGGGTGAGCTGGGTGCCTCCAATCTCACTTGCGTTTGCGGCTGGTCGTATCCTCCGAACTCGCTTTTAGGCATCAGCAATTGGCCGAAAGGTGCTTAAACAAACGGGCCATGTGGCATTCACAACGTTTACATGTATCCCCTCTGAGCATTTGACTCCCATATGAGTTGGGAAGTCACATTTGATGCCCCCCAGACCTTGCGCATGCCGGAGAAGAAGATGAGATGACCTCTCCAATCCGGCCTGGATCCCAGGGAACCTTTGCCTCACCGATAGCCACCTCCCCAACAACCGAATACCCTTTCCCTAGCATTCCGCAAAGACAACATGGAGGTCCAAGAGGTGCGTGGCGCCGTGGATCAACGTCAAGCTCAGTTGCTAGCACCCTCGACACTGCGTCAATCAACACCGCTCCAATAACAGAGATTAGCCAGAACGCAATTTCGACACTCCTGCAACACCCGATAATTCATACAGGGCTGAGAACAGGGACTCTCCCTTCCAGCTCGGGGTACAAGGCTCCTACACCGCGCGACATTCCTCCCGTTGCCCTTACGAATATCCCCCACATCGAAGGCAAGGCATTTCATCCTTACCTGTCGCAGGTTGGCTCGCTGTACGAAGCCTTCCAAAGGGCAAAGAATGAGGGTGAAGGCGAGACATCATTGTTCCACCGAGACAAGAAGGACACCAAGAATGAAGAGTGGGAGGCTATTCTTAGCAAGCGCCTGCAAAGGCCAGGGCATTCTCGGGCGAGCTCAATGAGCTCGACGATATCGATTCCGCTAGAGCCGCCTCAACCGAAAAGGAGACATAGTGGCCAACGACGTCAGGCGGTCACACCATTGTCGACGATCCCAGCCGTCTATTCGGAAGAAGAATTCCACCTCGAGAACCCAAGGACATTTGATATCGTCTCTGAAAATTCGGAGATCGTGCGTGACCCTAGCGGAACTCCTTCTGGGAGGAGATCTCTGGCTACAAATGCAATCCTGCAAGAGAAGCTATCGTGGTACATGGATACGGTCGAGGTGCACCTCATAAACTCCATATCGACGGCATCGAAATCGTTCTTCTCCGCGCTCGGATCTCTCAGGGAGCTACACAATGAGGCTGCTGATTCAGTAGACCGTATTCAGAGGCTTCGGAGGGAGCTTGCGAGACTCGACAAGGAAATGGCCATAGATGGACTGAAAGTCGTCAATCTGAAGCAGCGTCGTGACAATGTACGTCAATTAGCGCAAGCAATCATGCAACTCGAGGACATCGTCAAATTCGTGCAGATTTGCGAAGACATGGTTGAAAAGGGCGAGATTGATGAGGCATTGGATGGGTTAGATGACGTAGAAGCGTTGATGGCAGGCAAGGAGAGGAAGTCCCCGGATACGGACCAGTCACTTCGATATCAAAGACGCGATCTGCGGAGAATCAAGGCCCTCGAAGGCGCCTTCGATGACTTGAATCAACTGCGTCAGCGGGCTGGTCGGGGCTATGAGGCACGATTTCACAACAGCCTGCTCAGTGACATCAGACGGCATGTTGAGCACACGGAGACTAGCATGACCCTTCAAAGATGGGGAGTCGCGTATACAAGACCAAAACCAGGCCAAAGGAGAGCCCCTTCCGCTTTCCCAGGGTACATGAATATTGGACCCGAACTACGGGATGAACTTGAAGCTGAGATGAGAGGTCTATCGAGGGCCAGGTATACCACTCCGGCAGCTACTAGTTTCAGAGCGATCGTCTTGCGAGAGATGAAAAGCATGATTCGAAAACAGCTCCCGAGCTCCAACGACGATGACAATGTTTCTACAGTTTCTGCCTCGACGATGGGCGGAAGAAATATGAGCCAACAAGAGAAGTCATCGATTTTGGCTAGAAATTTGAGAGCACTGGACGCACAAGATTGGTATCAAATGCTTGCGACCATCTACACAAACATTAGTGAAGGTCTGCGCCGGCTTAGCGTGCAGGTCAAAATTTTGCTGGATATCACAAGCAACTTGCCAGAGCACATGATTAAATCGCCTCCAAGAACTCCTGACCCTACAAGTATCGACAGAGTTATGAGCCCCCAACCAAGCCGACCCCGAGCTACGAGTTCCGTGCAAGCAGAAATGCAGCAAGTCTTAGATCTCTCGAGTCTATTGGGAGAGGGTGTGGATCTTGCACAGGCACAGATCACGAAGGTAGTAAGAATCCGGTCACAGCAGAACTCGGAATTGCCCTTGTCCGATTTCCTGAAGTACTTCACACTTAACAGGCTGTTTGCCGATGAATGTGAAGCCATATCTGGCCGCAGCGGCACGGGCCTCAAGAGCGTTCTCGACAGCCAAATTAAGGATTTCGTGGCGCGATTTGCAGACTCCCAGAAGCATGAAGTCATCAAGGTCATGGATTCTGATAAATGGGATGCTAGGGATTTTGGCGAGCGCGAAAACGAGGTCCTCGCTCGGGTCATGGAAGGCAGCACTAACGACGCCCTTTCCTGGATTGAAAGCACGATGATTTGGCAAGCTTCGACCAACGGCGCTGAGACAAGCAACGGTGTCGCAATTAACGGAACAGCTGCTGCGGCTGCAAAGGTGCGCAGCGCCATGATCGATGAACAGAAGTACATACTTCCGGAATCTGCCATTGCCATGTTACGATCCATGGAAACTTTCCAACACCTAGCGGCTGGCATCCCCAGTATGAGCCATGAGGTTGCCACTTCGTTGCTGGACAGTCTGAAGTTGTTTAATTCACGAAGCTCCCAGCTGATCTTGGGGGCCGGCGCCACGAGGAGTGCAGGTTTGAAGAACATCACGACAAAACACCTGGCGTTGTCGTCACAAGGGTTGAGCTTCATCGTCGCACTCATACCCTATGTGAGAGAATTCTTTCGCCGACACCTTCCTTCCTCGACGACCTCACAAGTCATGAACGAGTTCGACAAAGTCAAGCGTCTCTTCCAGGAACATCAAAATGGTATCCACGAGAAGCTTGTCGACATCATGTCCGGGCGAGCCTCGATGCATGTCAAGGCAATGAAGAACATTGACTGGGAAGAAGCGGCCAAGAACAAAGCCGTCCATGTGTCGCCCTACATGGAGACATTGACGAAAGAAACGGCCACATTGCAGAAAGTATTGGCCAAGCATTTACCGGAACCGGTGGTGGCGGGGATAATGATGCCGGTGTTTACGAGTTACCGAGAGCAGTTGACGAATGCATACAAAGATGTTACTATCAAGTCGGTCAGGGCAAAGGAAAGGTAAGAAGATCTCAGAATACAGAACCCCCCCCCCAAGGGTCTAGAAATATTTTTGTGCTGATGGGAGCTGAACCTAGGCTACTGGCGGACGCATCATTCTTCAGTCTCCGGATCGGCAAAATCGATGGATCAGGAGATCTGGGCGAACATATCGTGAACGTCGTCCAAGCGAAGCCGGTGATCAGCCGTGCGGCGCCACCAGTACCATCGCCCGAAGCCCCTGCGACAAAAGAAGAGGAGGAACAAAAGCAAGATGCTGCGCCGGAAAATGGAGAGAAGGAAGCCGAAGCTACCGAGAAGCGGGAGGAGTTCAAGACATAGACGTTTACGTGGCATGGGCGTGGTGTAGCTCAGTATCTGATCTGATCGGATAGGGTTTTGTGAAACGAGATATATCTTGACCAGGAGAGCTTTCCACTGTTCTGTTGGAGCCTTTTCAAACAGCCAAAGTGCTTCGAGGATGCGACCTTTGCCGGTGTTTTGTGCCTCATCGCTGTCTCCGCATCTTCGTATCAAGTTAGCACTTTGACCAATCCAGTACAGGTCTCCTTTTTCCACAGACATCCGCCACTATTACTTTCTCCTAACTCAGGGATCTCCCCCCTCCCCAACAGCCGTCTCTCATATAGTTTCTGCCGTGAAAATCCCGTAGCAGCCCAGGTCGACCACTTCTCCTGCTGTGTTTGTGCGTGCGTCAACCAGCGTCATTCACTCATAAACACTCCAGCGTCCCCTTTTTTCCATCTAGAAAATGGCCGTCGCGTTGACGTGACTACTCACGCCACCGTGGCAATTGAAGGGGGCACTGCTGAAGAAAAAGGTCCAGCGCTTGTTCTTCTTGCACAGCTGGCTCAGCTTCTCCAGGTCGAGCATCTCGCCCAGGGGCATGCCCCAGAGGGCGATGATGAACTCGTGCAAGTAGTAGTTTTCGGGGGTGGGCCAGCGCTCGAAGGCCGGGGCGTCGCCGCCCACGGCCGCGAAGTAGCAGTCGTGCAGCCAGTCCTTGACGGCCTCTTCCTGCTTGACGCCGCACCACTGGGCGTCGGGGCCGTGGCGGAGGGCGAGCCGGTCACGCTCCTCAGGCGCCCGCTTGTAGTAGTCCTCGACCCAGCCGGAGCGGATGAGCAGGATGTCGCCAATCTTGAGGTCGCCCCCTTGCGCCTGCGGGCGGATGTCGAGGCCCTGGTGCTTGCCGCAGGCGACCAGGTCGTCGTAGCTGATGGCGTGGGAGGTGGCCGTGTCGTACTTGATGCCCACGCTGTCAGCGTACGATCGGTAATCGAGCAGCACGCCCCGGCCGGAGAAGCCGTGCTCGGACCAGTGGTGGATGCTGCATTTGTGATCGTTCGCCGTCGGCCCCATGATGTCGTCCTTGTGCGTGTTGTTGTAGAAGGTCTGCGTGGCGATGTGGGAGAAGTGCCGGAAGCCATCCCACTGGGTGCCGGACTGCGTGTTCATGTGGTAGATGTCGTCGTAGGAGATGCCCTCGGCGATGGGTACGATCTTGTGCTCGAACTTCTGGCGCCCAAAGGCCGGCTGCAGCGGCACGTCCAGCGGCAGGTCCAGTCGGGCCATTTCGCCCGTGCGGATCTCGTGGGCGGCGGCGGCCTTGACGCGCGTGGGCGTCAACAGGTTCAGCCGACCGACGTAGTCATCCTTGCCCCAGACCCAGGCGGCTTCGTCGGGCGCGCCCACGATCTTAGGGAGGTTTTTGCGAGTCGGGAACGAGGTCGACTCTGGATCGAAGGGAATGGTGGTGGCTACCTTGCCCATGATGGAATCCTTGATCTGACTCAATCGCCTGCTCGCCTGGGAGAATACGTCCGTCATGGTGGCTTCGGGGATCCTGACAAGCCGTACCTTGGTCTTTATACAAGAATATATGAGACACCCACTGCTGCTACTGCTGCTGCGGCGCCACTCCGCCACAATTTCTTCTCTTGAGCTGTGAAAGGTGGAATAGAAGAAAACGGCTACCACGCGTCTCCGAGCTAGACTTTTCTCTGCTTGCCGCGTGAATCTGGTTCTCTTCCGAGGTTCTCTCGGTCGGGAATGTCAGGATGTGTTCGTGTCTCAATCCCTTTTGAGGGGAATAGCCGGCAGGGAGCGAGCTAATGAGGAGCACTTGGAGCTCTCTGCCCCGCAGACGATGACTTGGTGTGCCATGCCGTGCCGGCAGTCGATTTCTCGTGTTGAAATTCCCGCGGGACAGAACGATGACGATGTCCTCGTCTAAGATCGGAAAACGGTGTTTCGCGTAGGAGAGTAGCGTGACGACTGAGTCAGTCGCTGCTCGCGATAGTCAATGAAGTCAATGAGGGTCTTCTCGGCCTGGCCTCGGCATGTCAAATTCACGTGGTACATATGTACTATTGTGTACTCGGTGCACGCCGCTTTTAATTGACCACTGCAGCTCTCTTCACCGGCACCTCCATACCAGTACTCTTACTTGACTACTCCTTACAAGTAGCTACCCACCTACGATCCAATGTTTTCTTCATGTTTCATCCAATGTCTCGAGACCTCCAAACCAGCCGGGTAGCTAGGCAGCCAGCTATCTTAATTGGAACGCATTGCCCCACCCCCCTTCGAGCAGTCGACGCCTCCATACTATTCATGCGAACTGCGGGCTGGCAAACCCCATCCCCCTCGACATCGCTCTTGACTCACTTCGAAATTAGGCCTCTTCCTCTATGCCCATGTTCTGCTCGTTTTCTCGACGACGTCTAATAAACAAAGAAGGTAGCGCCGTGGTACAGTTGACGTTGAAAAGGAGGCGGGCGCAGTACCAATTACATAGATTAAGAACCGAGTCAAGGGCGACTGCGGTCCCCCGGAGTATGGGCTAGATATACTGGACTTGTGACGGGCACAGAGGTGCGCCAAATTTGACAAACTCTTCTCCCGGAGGCTGTCGACCCTATCTGTCGTTGCTCGCCGGGACCGAGTGCAGAGTGAGCTTGGAAGGGCTGCTGTGCTGTGCAAGATTAGATTCGGCCCGACGCAGGGCTATGATATGTGAGACAGAGAGGAGCTTCGATTATCCTGCATGCTTCTTTTCGTGTACGAATTACTTCAATGGTAAGAGAGGTCTAATTAACCGTTCCAATTCCCCAGATAGTGCCTCTCAATCTCCGCGACAATTGCTTCCGAGTCTTGTTCCCTTTGCGCTGTTCCTAGCGGTGTCGGATCCGAGAGGGATCTCGCGGGCGGCTGGGGTTCAAACGAGGGCCTCTCCAAGGCTCTTAATATCGAAGTTCCCGCTGTCATTATGGGGGGAGGAGGAGGAAGGGGCGGCGGCGGCGAGGGCGTGTGAGGCGAAGATGGGAGCGGAAGTGGTTCGATAGCATCCGGGTCGGGATTCAGTAGTGCCTGACCCGGCGTCGACTCATTCTTGTTCTTGTCGCTATCATTGTTGGTGTTATCGCCGGCAAGGCTAGGGTCAACATTCTCGGTCTCGGTGCCCTGCTTGTTCCTTTTCCTATAGTACTCCATGTCCCTCCCGAGCCCGCCAGATGGCAGGAGAACAGAATCTTTCCGTGACGCTTCCGCTCCGTTGTCCCGCACATCGGTGGCGGTTATATCAGTGCTCACGAAAGAGCCGTGTTTGATATCCACCTGCGTACCCGATCGCGAGGGCGTCGGCCCACTGGCATCTGGAGATTCCTCATCTGGTGCTGGAAAGCTACTCGGCGCAATGCCATGCTTGATCAGCGCGAGGAGCTGGTTCAACACGATGAACTCGAGCTTCAACTTGACGGCGTAACAGAACGGGTGGATCACGACCTTGAGCGTAAACATGTTGTTGCAATCGACCGTAATGAGCGCGATGTCGAAGATGATTGCAATGACCTGCGCGCTGATGAGCAGCTGCATGACGCGATGTGTCTGGCGCGAGTAGATATCTTTGAGAAAGTCGCGCGTACACCAGATATACATGAGTGAGATGATGGTTTCCTGGACACTGAACCATACCACCTGGATCCGCTCCATGACCTTCATAGGCGTGTACCAGACGTCTGGGTGGGGGGAGGAAATCCCAAAGTCGAAGATGATGATGGGTGTATGGAGTAGGATGGCGTCGGTGATGATCATGGAGAGGACCGCCCTTCGAATGCGCTTGTCGTGAACCACGAGATTCAGGCGCGAGTACAGAACGAGAGAGAAGCCCGTGACGTTGCCGACCCAACCCACCTTGAAGATGATGCTCGAGATGATCCAATTGCTCTCATTGAAGAGCTTGAGAATGACGCCGAGGACATGCAACGCCACACCCCATGTGCAGACCAGAAGCGACCAGAAATAAAGTCCTCTGTGGCGCCGGAACGTGAAAAACACCTGCAAGGTCAATTCAACCGTCATCCATAGCGAGACCGCACAAAACGCCGCGATTAAACAGTATGCCGTGGGATTCCATGGGAGTGCAACAGGCTCGAGCGCTGGGTGTAGACTCCACTGGAAGGACTCACGGTCAGTACATTAGGATCGAGGCGCCTGAACAAAGCATCCATCACCATGTGGAAGGGTTTGTATAAATCAAAACTCCTGACAAGATAGACAAGAACGACAACTAACATCGTATTTTGCTAGCGGGACGAAGTGACATGCCGACATGTCTCAGCTGGAGGGCGGAGTACCTGTTATTGATATTCCATTGGGGGCCCCGGGTTGCGTCCAGCCTTGCGCCGCCGTTTCCCTGAATGTCAAATTTCCCCGTGCCGTTTCTTCTTGTTTGGTTGCACGACGCACAATTGGTAAAGAGTTTCCAAGGCCGGTTGCAAGACGGGTTGAGAATCGACGAAATCAGAATGGAGCGTTCAAAGAGCGTCGATTGAGAGTCCTGACTTGGTCCGTCTCCCTGAAGCGGTGCACGCGGGCACAGCTTGCGACCGACCTTTGTAAAGTCTTTGAGCGTCAATTAATAAAGGTGAATTAAATTTAGAGGGGGAACGATATCCTAGAGCCAGCAGTTCAAGAGAAACGTTCCCCATAACCGCAGGGTGGCTGTACGGACTCTGTAAACGAGCCGTTGAACACCAATGATAAGATGGCCTGCGTTTGCCGCAATGGTCGATGGGCGGTCTAGGCGGTTAGTATGCGAGGGCTGAGGTTGGCGGAATTTGGGCGTAGATGCCAGATGTCGAGATCTTTTCGACAGATGTCGTTTGACTGCTAAAGACTTGACATGATGGCATCTTTTGTTTGATCATGCTCTAATGAATGATTGAGGCTTTGCCCAAATCTCTGAAGAAATGGAAGAGGAAGAGGGGAGTCGGAAGGGGGCTCAGCTAGGGTACACCATCGAGTACGAGTCGAGACGGACGTCGGACCGGTATCATTCCAGACAGTATCGTCCACGACCCGAGAGATAGCTGTTCTTTTCTTTTGTTGTCATTGTTTGCAATACTCGACACCTCTCGTAGTGACTTCCCTCAGCCCATGTGTGCTCAAGACTATAAGTCAGATAGTTTGGGACAACCAACTGGGAAAGACTCGCATGGCCACCCGAAAGGCAAACTGGAAGATGAGCCGAGGAAGTTTCACAACATCGTAGACTGTGGCATTCTTCAAGTAATACATACTGATACTCCGTAGATACATAGGTCATCCTCGATGCGGAGTTCAGCTCTGAGGCTGATGGGAAGCATCGGGAACTACGGTAGAAAGCCCCCCCCCTTTGGCGCTCCATGGCGCGTCATAATATGCAATCAATTCAGCCAAATGTGCTGCAATTTGAGGAGTCGCGTGTCAAGAATCGAGAATATTGCGCGTCTTTCTCCGCTTCCTTTTGTGGGGGAAGAGTTTCAATTTAAACAAGGAGCATTTTGGCTGGATGAAGGGGGCCAAATTGCATCTGGTGGCTCTTTAAGTGCAGACTCCTGAGGATCCGAAGTGTGTACAACACCGGGGCAAATGGATGCACAGTGGTTGTCGGATCATGTATCAAATGGGGTGTTGCATACTGTTAAGGAACTTGGAGATGAGTCTCAACGCATCTCAAATTATACCATGACCGCCTGTCGACACCAACGACGAGCTGATCGATCTGGAGTTTTCCAGCCCTCGGTTGTCTCAGCGTCATCTCCGGCTCACGCCTTCTTCGAACCTTTCTGCTATTCCCACACACGGGTGCCGTGCGTGGATCCCGTCTGTCATCGTCTCAGATGAGCCTTGGCCCTCGGCTTGCAAAGATATCACGTCGACGGTCAGGCAGACTGTCCTGAGGAGGAGATTCTCCGGCCTATCTAGAACACTCACGGGGCCTCCTTCTACTAGCCTCCTGATGATGTCGAGAGGTGCGTAAACGTACAGTTACAAGGCATCACCAAGAGGGACGGTCAACGAGGTTCATGCATGTTAAGTTACACGGACATGTAGCCGCTCAAATAATACTATGAGGGAAGGTGAACCGCCGGTCTTTTTTTGCAGATCTAGGTAAGTACAAGACAGAGATATTTTGACAGGGGTCCTGGAAAGGGAGGCCTTCTATCAGATCGGCTCGCTTGAGTGAGATGAGAGTTTGCTAGAAACAAGCAAGCGGCCTCTCAGCTTATTCCTTTGGGGACAGATGACTGCACGCCATCCTCTGTACCTCCAGGACCTGTACATGCAAGGTTTGGAACCATTTGGGGTGGCTGGAATCTTTCCGGGTCATGGTGGCCAGTCACAGCGCCGCTTCCTCAGCGACTTGTCGAGATAGGGAACGGAGGACGGAGTAGATCTCTGGATCTCAGGACATGGCAGGGACAAATCAAGCTAATAGATCATAACCCTGCCGCAACGCCACCGTAGCACAATCCTGGGGACATTTTTTGAATCTGTGGCAAGGCAGCAGAGGACCAGCGTCGCGCAGCATCAAGTCGTGCTCGTGACTTGCTTCAGATCATTTGATATTCATCGGTGAGAAAAAGGTGGTTGGTGTTGTGGTTGAAGCTGCGGTTCTGTTCTGGAGTTATGACCGTGGGGGAAGTCTTCTCCTGGCGATGACAAGAAGAGGAAAGAGAGCGAACTCCGGATAGGGCATGCAGAAATATCTCACGTCAATCACGAAGATCGCAGCAGCAATTCCCGTCGAGCCCGTGTGCCGGGTTACTAGTTGGCTTGGGGTCTGCGCAGTGACACTCGCTGCAGTTTGCTGGTCAGGTTCAGGTTTGGCCCCGAGCAGCTGGTCAAGACTGTGGACTCCGTCAGGCTTGCATTAGCCAGGTTCGAAAACAAGGACCTGACGGCGACATGGGCCAATGGACGCGCCTTGACGCGCTCTGCTCAAACCGCCAGCCGCGCGACCAGTGGCCATGTGCGGTGCGGTTTTACATACAGAGGACAAAAAAGGGCAAAGGATGGCAAACATGACAAAGGCATTACTTACAGCTGCTCGTACTCGTACGGGTAACACGAAAACAATGAATGGGTGAAGAACGTTTTTCCGCCATAGAAGAACTGGCGGGTGGTAGGTAAGCTGGCTGCCCGGGTTGTACATGGTAGAGCCCGTCAGGAGGCCAGGCAGGAGGTGAAGGGAAATTTGGTTGTGCCAGTGACGGAGGTGGATGTGGTGAAGTGACAGGCGGTGAGTACACCACGGACATCAGATGAAGCGTGTGAATGTCGCTGCTTCCAGGTACTTCTACAAAGCACCGAGTACCGAGTACCATTGGAGACGTTACAGGTGGTGATGGTCGTGGTGCTGTGGGTGCTTCACAGAGGGGAGACTTGGTTGATACTCCAGTTAAGGGTAGCCCCTATCCGACCCAGAGGTCCGGGCTGCTATGCTGCTAAACTGGCCCGGAACCAGGCTTGCCAGAGACCAGGACAAAGTTTTGGAGACCAGTGGTCACTGATAGAGGGCTGCAACAAATCACCAGCTGCCACAATGGCGGCCACAGGCTGCCCGCGACTCCCTAGCTCATGTCTCGTTATTTCTGATTTCACGATACAGCTTGACCATCAGCCCGGACAGCGAGATACTGGGTACCCAATACCGTACCTTGTAAGCACGCCCTGGTACTTCTCCCCAGCTCCGCCAGCCGCACAACTGGAGCCCTTCGCTCTGTCTGGCTGGCTGTCGCGCAATCCGCCAACCCGCACAAGCTGCAACCTCAACTTTGCCTACCTCGCCGCCGTCTCTGATTCCCTGGTTCCCTGGCTGTCCTTCTGTCGACCCCTGCAAGTCGTGTCTGGGGCTGCGTCTGCGCCCAATCGCTGCTGTCAGGGCCAACCATCTCGTACACTTGGATTGCTCCACTCTCTCTTGCTCATCTCAAGACTTCGGACGGCCTCCTGTTCCTTTTTCTCCTCATCCACCACCACCGTCCTTTTCTTCACAATCCTCATTCCCATGAGGCCTTGACCTCCTCCTCTTTTATCCTCTCCTTCCCTCTCCTCCTCCTGTCGTTGGACCTTCGGATACATCACGACTCGGCTGAGTATCTCTCATGTCCTCGACTCTTCTCCCACGCCCAGTTCTGACCTCCTCCTCCTGAGCCTTGTTGGAGCTGCGCTAGCCACCCTCACTGCTCTCCATCACCTGCGTTCGTTTACACAGAACGTTCTGGATAACGTTCTGCCTTGGGTTATTGGGCACCGAAAGATCCTCAATCTCATTCCAAGAGGTAAGGACCTTTTTGCAGTTGCTGGTTAGGCATTGGGGGGAAATGTGAGATCCAATGTCCAGAGGTTCAGACCTGAACCTTCAAAAGCCAAACAAAATATGCCCGACACTACCCGGCCAGGAGGCGTGCAGTCTCTCTTCGCACCTCAGCCGTTCGACACATCGAAAAGTCCTGGCAAATACCCTCGCGTACTCTTTGGCAACTCAAGCTTCTTCCCTGGTTTAAACCAGGAGTGGTTACTTGGACCCCACCTATCCGATATTAAGGAGAACAGCTCAACATGCGCCAGACGGAAGGCCCCCCTGAGAAGGTGAAATGAAGAGGAGGACACAAACATGTTCAAGGCGTACTGGCAACTTCCGTGCATCAAGGGACACAGCTGCCTCTCCTACCTTGCCGGACCAAATGCTGAGGATGGGGCAAAGGCCCATCTTGCTTGACGATCCTCCCGCTCTGAATGAATGAAGGGGGAGAGATACCGGCCAACCGCACAGCAGGGAATAAGAATTTGACGTCGTCGTTGCCCACTACCATCTGTACTGGGTACTTCGACGTCAATCAAATCTCTGAGCAACACATACAATCATTTCCATTGGCAGGAGGCATCAACTGAGGACGATTCCCTGCCACATCCCCACATTTTCGACGCGGTTAAAGAAATGCGCACTGACCAGATATTTGAAGCAGATTTGCATCTCCCTAGCAAAACGAGGTCAGCAAAGTCTAGAATAGTCAACGTGCTTTTTAGATCCCAAGGTCAGCGCCCTTCTGGTATCCCTTCATTCGGACCACTGACTTCATTTTAGATTTCCATTGCAAAATCTAGTCTCCTCTTGTGGCCTCTACAGTCCGCATTCCAGTCCCAGGGTCCCAATCCACCCCCAGCGGAGTCGTTCACTCGACCTTCGCTGAACCTACGCACGAGCAGTCAATCTACTTGGCATTCCAATCCTCGGCCAGATGAAGAGCATTCGTGCTGATCCCCAGTAACAAGGATTTAAACCGCCGTGCCATTTCTCCCTTTCGGTATGTCCTAGCACTCACCTGCCTATCATCGGTCGGCTAACCACACCACGCACGCTCCAGTTTTCCCAGTCTAGAAAAGACACTTTTTTAACTCCCTTGGTTCCTGGCCACCTCCAGCCTCGCGCAACATTTGATTGCGTCCGGTCATTCACTCCTTTCAACGCTTTTGCCAATTATACGACTGTCACTCACTTTTTATCCGTCGTTCAACTCACAATTTCGATCAATTCGAACATTTCCTCTTCTTTACCTCACTTCCCCCTGATATCTAAACTTCCGTAATGGATCTTGCAAAGATGGCTTTCAACAACAGAATCTCTTCCTTCAGCTCCAACGACAGCGGCTACGAAAGTGGTATCGTCGAAGTCTTTGACGAACCTCGCCGTCCAGTCATCAAGAACCCTGATCACGCCAAGGAAATTGCCAGACATCGTCAGCATCTGATGGCTTCAGAGATGTCGAGAAGAGACGCAGACGAATATCAGCAGGACATGCTTGAGCATATGCTTAAGATGGATGTGAGTGACCTTGGAAGCCGACGCGCGAGTTGGAACTGACAAATTTATGCAGGCTGAGACCGTACCAGACGTCGACGCGATTGACATTCAAACAGAGATCCAGTGGTACATGAGGCCTTACCTTCTCGACTTCTTGGTGGAAGCCCACACGGCGTTTCAGCTGCTACCGGAAACTCTCTTTCTCACAACCAACCTCCTCGATCGCTACTGCTCGAAACGGGTCGTCTACAAGCGACATTATCAGCTTGTCGGCTGCGCTGCACTGCTCATTGCGGCCAAGTACGGAGATAAGAAAGAAAAGGTTCCCACAATTAAAGAGTTGAAGTCAATGTGCTGTTCGCTCTATGATGATGATATGTTCTTGCAGATGGAGTGGCATGTTCTGTCAACCCTTGGTTGGGCTATCGGACATCCCACTGTCGACGCGTTCATGCGGTTGGCTGTGAAGGACAATGTCTACGACCCGGAAACAGAAAGCTTGACTCTCTACATCCTGGAGATCGCCCTCTACCACCGAGACTTCGTGTCCAAACAGTCACACACCCTCGCCCTTTCAGCTCTTGTTCTCGCACGCCATATCCTCGGTCGACCTCAAGCTCGCCAAAACGAGTTTGGCTCTCACTTCTGCAGCAGCACCGTCATGGAACTGTTGCAAAAGGTGCAGGAGCCCTCAGGCATTTTGGCACGGAAGTATGCCTCCGTGCGCTATTCCGGTGTCTCACGAGTCCTGACCAATTTCCTGGCTCAAAAGGCTGCCATGTCTGCCTCTCGAGCTCCATTGACTCCGACATATGACCTCAGCCCCCCTTCGGCAATCACCAAGCCCGCAGGCCCGGAATACTTCCAAACTTATGCCACACCTCAAAAGCCACAATTTCCACCCTTGGTTCAGCATGGTCTGTACACGCCTCCAATCACCCCTGAAGGGGACATGTTTGGCGTAACACAGAAGACCTTCAATGCCCCAAACCAGTGTGCCCCTCCCACACCAACTCCTACCACTGTAGGCCAGCAATTCACCTCACATTATCCGACCTCAAGTCAGCAATGGAGCGGCGAATCATATTGAATGTTCTTTGATTCGAGGAGCCCACCACTGCAAAAAAAAAAAAAGAAAAAAAAGGATAGAAACATCCTCTCAGCTTTTCGCTTCGACCGCGTCATACTATTCTGTTAGCACACACAGAAGTGTTTCTATTACCCTCAGTCTTGTGAGATTACTTTTTGTGCATTGCAAGCGTTCTTGTCATGTTTCCGAGCATCGATACTCGTTACCAAAAAAGGGAAAAGAAATAACAGCGAGATCACTCTTTAATACCGGTGCCCAAGATGGGACAGGATTCGAGATCTGGTGTGGTGCTCTCTTGAGCAAGAGGTCCAAGAAAGAGAACTTTTCGGGTCTGTCAATGGGATGGGCGGCGGAAACCAAAATGGATCAATATTGTGAGATTGGATTATCAATACGCTTAGTGCTGGAGCTCATGGAGCTGTGAAATGGATACGGAGCTGGGCGAAAGGAACTCAAGGCAACAAAAAAACACGTGGTGACTGTGAACTTACTGTGTACCCTCATGGAGGAAAAGATTGATGCTCTTCATCTTATTGAAGAAAGCAAGAGTCGGAAGGGTCAAGATACCCGTAGTTCCCCCATACTTAATGCTGCATTAGCCATTCTGTTCCACCACCTTTGCATGACCGGTCGACCGTCTATGTGAAAACATGTGGCAAGCCGACTGCAGCGGTTGACGAGCTCTTCCTTTTGTCACATGTAGGATGGAACTTTGTGCGGGTTCTCCTCGGTCTGGCAAGTTTGGTGAACCGTTAGACGCCTCCTCATTCGTCTGAAATGTTACATCCACTCCCTCCTGGATGTGTCAGTGATGTATTACACAGTTCGGCTTCCATTCTTGGGCCCGTCGTCCTCTGGTTGATTCACCTCCCCCATACTCAGCACACGCGACGCGTGCCATATCTTGTGGCTTGCTCTGTCACGAAACCCAGCATCCTCGCCGCTGTGTTGATATCATTAGGAGGGGGAGACCACCCAGACTCCGGCACGTTGCCGATTCACCACGAATCACCAAAGTTCAAGTTTTCAAGATTCCAGCTCCAGCTCGATCAACTGCAACTCCTCAGGATCACCGCGCCCAATTGCACCATGGGCCCTGTACAAGTGACGACAGCACTCATCTTCAACGGTAAATGTCTCCAAGCAAAGGCGTAGGCCACACCCTCCGCAAACCACATGATCACAGCCGCTTCAAACTTGTGGTGATCGAGGACTTTCATGAGATCTTCCAAGGAGACGATTTGCCCGCAGTTGCTGTAATCCCCGAAACCCATGATGGGAGCCTTGTTCTACCTGACTGCTTCAGATAGACTTTTAAAACAACCACGGCAGTACGTATGACCGTAGCCAAGTTTGACGGTGTCGTCCGTCCGCATCCGAGAAGCAGAAGAGACACTCTTTGCTGTTGTCGACTCGCTGACATTCCGCTTCTGCAGGAGGACGGTTGAGAATGATTGACCGGACGAGTTCCCAATCGCGCGGGTTACCTCGAAAGACCACGACCGGCGGTTTCTGCAGAATGTCCAGATCTGCACTCTTCTCGCCAAATTACCTTACCAAACGGCAAAAGCCCTCAGACAACGCCGTTGCGAAGTGCTCGCCTTCCAGGGTTATCAGATGGTAGGATGAGTGGCAGTTGAGAAGCTGTATGATTGCACGGCGGGTGTCTTCAAATAGAGTCGGCAAACCGAACACCTCAAGCTGTTGTTTCCGCAAACCTCTGTAGGCGTAACCATTCAAACGTTAGAGTCGATGGCTTACACTTTTCGCAGATACCTGGCTCAAGGGGTTGTGCGAGTGCGCGAGATGGAAGTGAGGGCAATCAGAACCGTCCCAGCAGTCACCCCGGTTGTAAAATCTGCGTCCAGATTACGAGGTACTTACCTTTGTAGCTCAAGCGCAGGCGATCCCTCCATCTTCGGCTATCTGGGACCTGCAATGACTTCCCACCCACAAGGGCATGCATTCTCGATTCAACGCACTTCAACTTATCGGACATGCGAGGGTAAAGGGGAGTGTCCTTGCATGCCTCCCAGGTTTGCTCGCCTGTCTTCTGGCCCTGTATTTTCAGATGAGGGAAGTGGAAGCGGGTGACGTGGGTGGCTCTCGCCCAAAATCTCGTTGGAGTTTAGGCGCCAGCCTTTGCAGAGGCTCCCCCCCTTTTCCACAATCGGCCCTTTTCTCCTTCGCCCTTATTCTCTCCAGCAGTACGAGGTACCTGGACCCCAGCTACGGCGGCAATCTTCGAAGACCCGCACGGGCAGATGGCCGAAGATTTATGCGAATGCAAGAGCGAGACCTTCCCACGGTTGACTCGACTGCGGTAAGAGGAGGCATGTCTACGACACCACGACAGAACGAGCACCATGAGTGATGAAGTCGAGATCTCACCAGCTAGTGCCTGACTCGGGAAGGCACAATAGGGCAAAAGGAGTCGAACTCTCACGGAGTATTTCCCCAGCTACTGTCAACGACATGCATGGACGAGCCCCGTTGTGGCATGGCTGTCACGCTCGTCGCGTCTTTTGTCTTGCTCGGATGCCGGGTTTCCAGCCTATCTGGCGTCTCACAGGCTCGTCGCTAGGGACTTCCCCATGTTCTCCTCGCAAAGCACCCTGGTCCTGAGTGCCCAGGGCGGGGTCTCTCCAGGTCTCTCTCCCCAGAGTGGCGGAAACGGCATCAGCGTGCATGGGTGCCAGAAGATCGAGGTCACCAGGAAACTCTCACCAACCATCAACCACCATGATGCGTCGATATACGAAACTCGGGTCGTTTTTGGCTTGACTGCAAAAACCACGCGCCTCTTACGGAGTTTCTTATGTCTCTTATGGCCTGATGCCTTGCACCCCACCTCGTAATCCGCAGCTCTTCCCTGGGCGTCCCTCGGTCCTGGGGAAAAGCGTATAGAATGGGCCTGCACATCCCCTGGTCCTGTCCACCCCTAAGCTCTTCCCCTTCGCATCTCTCCCAAATCTGTTTCGTGGTACAAGCAGACAGCAGTCTCGCCCTGACTGACCATGACCCGAACGGCAGATCCATACTACAACCGCAAGCCTGTCCCTGGTAAGGCTGTCGCTGGCTTCAGAATCCTCTGGTTCGATACTAACAAGGGTTGCTGTTGCAGACGAACTGATCAAGGATGTTGGCCTTACTGGACTGACACCAGAGGAAGAATACTGGAATCGTGAGAAGAAATACACTGCACATGGAGCAGATGTGCGGCGTTTCAGCAACAGTCTCAGGGGTGGCATTGAGCCTCTTCAAGATCCCTACTATGGCAGAAAACCTGTCGACGGTGTGTTCCTTCCACATTCCCCATCTGTGCGAGGCATGATTTGACAAGGCAAATAGAGGCTGAAATCGCCAACGTCGGACTCACCGGCTTGAGCCCCGAAGAAGAATACTGGAGCCGCGAACGCAAGTACAGCGCCACAGGCGTTGACGTCAGGAAGTTCAGCAACAGCAGAAAGGGCGGGATGGAACCTCAAGATGACCCATACTACAGTCGCAGACGCGTCTCAGGTATGTAGATTTAGATTCCCTAATGCCTTCACACAAGCCGGGCCTCTCAGTCACATCCCATGGCTCATTTTTGACGTTCAGCCGCCGAGATTGCCAACGTCGCCCCGCTCGACGCCCAGATGACCCCAGCCGAACAGTACGAAGTCCGCGAGCGAAAGCAATCCCTCTTCCAACTCTCCTCCGACCCGTTCGACGTGATCGCCAACCGCCACCGCGAGTCCATCTCTGGAGCTACCACAGGTGCCTCTGCTGCGGCAACGCGACGCCGCAGTTCAGCCGTCGCTCCAGATGCCGCCGTAGCTACTGCTTCGCACAGCGGGTATCACGGCGACAAGCTGGCACCCATCGAGAGTCGGCCAGAGGGTCCGCCTACAAGCAGCAACAATGAAGCAGGCAGTGGGCACACCTCGGACACATTGAATAGGGACTCGATCGATCCGGCGGAGGGCAGCCACGCCCGATTTTATGATGCGGTGACGGCGGGACATGATCACCACGCTGATCCAGACAGCGTCGCACCGCACGAGGTGCGATGAATGAGGGCTGGCCAAGTTGAAAGACAGGTGTGGGTGATCTGGCTGAAAGTGGAAAAGGAAAGGAGAAATGAACCTCAGGTTGCCATTATTGTTGTCGTTGTCGCGGTTTCCTTGGTTGTAGCCGCTGTGGTTGCTGCTTCTGTTGTTCATGGCGATGGCGATGGCGATGGCGAGGTCGACGGCAAAGATGATACCCTTGAGCGAGAGGATCCGCGACACGAGCTGCTGTGAGTTGTATCTACCTATGGTAGATACTGTGCGTTTTTCATAGTCTTAATCTACATGTTCTGGATGCTCGCACCTCGAAAGTCGAAGCCCTCCTTTGTGCGGAGGACTTCAAGAGTTCGTTGCCGCCAGTTCGCAAACAAGCAAGCTGGCACGCCCCCCGGGCAGCCGTGTTTCTAATCGATGTCGACGTCTTTTTCTTCGCTGTCACCCTGACGGCTGTATTCGCACACAAGAACGACATAAGTGCCTGTGCCCCCGCATCTCCCGTCTCTATTTGCCCGGGACATTCTCGTAATCCACGTTTCTCACACCCGGAATAGCACTCCTCCGAAGCTTCACGGTTTCGTCGTCCAGCGCCCTCAAAATCACACCACGAGCCTCTGGGACATGTTCAGTTCTGCCAATCTTCATCCCGCCCTGTTTCGCGCCAGTAAACTCCTCCGCATGCGGGTCAACGGGAATCCCGCTCTTCTGCGCCAGCCTGCGAAACCAAAACGACCCGATCCCATAATGTTGTTCAACACCGCCCGGGCTAATCATATTGTACACGATCCTTATCGATAGAACTGGGGCCATCTGCCACCACATTCACGGGCCCCGAGCCCTTTCAGGCCAATCGGCTCATCAGCAAACCGTTCGAGGAGATCAATGACCGTGCCCCGACAAGAGCGACGGAATTCGATGCAAGGCTTCCCAACATCGCACCGCCTGATCGTATAGGAACCTTACCGCATACAGACAACAGACGAGCAGCCAGTACGCAGTTAGTTCGATCGGGGTCACTAGAGCCCTCAAGCCCCGACACAAGCTTTTCCTCACCCAAGGTTTCCTCGGGGGTGCCCATGTCAAATCGATCTCCAGGCACAGAGGACAATACACGGGACAGTTGATGCGATCCTTTTCCCGCCAGTAGCAGTGGCCGCAGAAGAAACCGCTGCTATCCTCCTCGGGGGAATGGCACCAGTTCTCGACCAGATATGCATATTTCCCCTTCTTGCCCAGCGAGTTCCAGTGTTTTTCCGATATGCCCAGTCCATTGCGAAACCTTGGGCTCTTCGTCCTGCGCAGTCTGTCCCAAAAGTATTCATGTGACCGCGGCAGGATCTTGGAGCAGCGATAACAGTAGCGAAATTTATCCTTGGGAACCCAACCGTGAGCGAGTCGTACGAAGAGAGTGGGCATCTGAGGGAGGATGAAGCTGTACCGCCGATCGTGGAAGCGCAGCCAGTCTGAGCGTGTGACATGTAAAGTAGGCATGGTGGAGGAAAGGAGGTATTTGCATGTCAGGCCGAGACAGACACGGTCGACAGGATGAAGACGGTCGACGATTTCGAGGATGATTTCGGGTGGGAGAGAGGTGATGTTCGTCCGTCTTCGAGAAGAACAAGTAGAGGAGCCACTTGAGGCCGTCGTGTCCGCGTGCGTCGCACCATCGGTAGTTTCTTTTTGCTCGCTATTTCCTAAACCAGGCGTCAAGTCGAGCTAGGGAAAGTGGTCAGCTTCGGGGTGGTATCTCAAAAAAAGACAAGCTCTTTGCGAAGATACCTTTGGAGGGACTCGGAATAGGACCAGAGGGTCCGCCGAAGAACTGTCCCAGAAACTGGGGATGGGTTGAGATTTGTGTAACAGCGGCATTGTGTCTCTATTTCCCCCTTCGCATCGGCAGAAATTTGCGGTAAGAGAAAAGGTCGCTCGCAGGTGTGAGGCAGGAACGAAAGGATGTTGTCAAAAGTTGTGGACGAAGAGTGAAGCCTTATGGCTCCTGGTCGTTTGTTGTTTTTCTTCACAGGATCTGCAGTATCAGGCTGGGCAGAACCAAGCATGTGGGCATCTGCCTGAGCCGTAGTCGGTGCAACACCATTGTGCAGTGAAGACAGAAACAAGCAAAAAGCACAGCGGGCCGGAGCTATGGGGATGATGCTTGTATGCCTGGCATTGAAAACGTGGCAGATGACACCTCCTCTCAAGATTGGCTCACCGGCTGCATGCGCGTGTCTTTTCTCACTGCTTCTGCGGAACTGGGCGGACAATGGGTTCGGACGAGGGCAAATAGAGGCGGGAGCATTAAGGATTAAGCGTTCGTGTGGGTGTGTTTGTCGTGCTTGCGTGAAAAGACAGCCGGGCGAGGCTCTGGTTGGGGGTTTCTGCCGGTTGAAAAGAGGAAACCTGAGTGAGCGTGAAACACAAGACAGCCATCCCTCACAGCCTCGAATAGCACCCTGCTAAGCTGGCTGGGGTGGCCTCTTGGGCTCGACTTGACAGGTTTTAGAGATGCGTCGAGCGATTGGGTTGACCTGTGCCAATCACTGGCGGACGTTGCAAGCTGCCTTGCAAGGGAGGCATTTTAGCTACCACGTCAGCGGGACAGTGGGAGGCACAGAGAGTGGGGAGCACACAGGTGAGAGGGTGAGAGGGGTGAGAGGTGCAAGGAGGGTACAGGCGCAGGCGCAGGCAGAAGCGGGGTCCTGAGCAAGTGTGACCGCAAGCCACCAACCGTGCTACACTTTGCACCCCGCCACCTTTCCTTTTTCCTCATGTTTTCCTTATCAGTGGTGTCTAATGGCTGATAACGACGTCCTGGTGTAACTAGCAGCGACTAACTTGTGCTAGTTCGTTTAGCAGCTATGTACCCGCTCCTTAGTAGCACGCTAGCCAAACTAAGACACCACTTAGCTAGCACTGCGAGCGAATAACTCTCTACCTCGTACCCCCGCCATCAAAATCTGCTTTTGCGCTTGCGACAAACACCTCCAGACATGATCCTTACTCGTCCTTGTCCTGAATTCCCTATAGGCCCTTTCCAAACCGCTCATAGTCCTCTTCATGCAGACCGTACTCCTGGATACCGTCTCTCTCCTTGCCGTTGGCCTTGTAAAGAGAGTTCTTCATGTGTTGATAGTCGACTTGGGGCTCGACCCAGCTGCCATCCACACCATTTCCGAAGACAATCGAGCTCCATTTACGGCTCAAACTCTCACTCATCTGGGTGAATTCGTCCACTTCGCCCCTACTCATCAGGTACTCCAGGACCGCGTTGTCCGCATCCCCTTCGGCATCATAGTACCACATCGACTTGGCCGTCTCGATGCAACGACTGACCGACCAATTCCGATACTCGATATGGCTCTGCTCCGGCCGCGCTGGGTTGTACTCCCACCGCGCAACTTCAAACCGGCCCACCTGGTTGCGCTTTTTTAGGTCTTCCGGTCGTGTCAAGGTATACATGAATCCGGATTGGAGGCTGAGTTGTTGTTTGATCCATGCTTTGGGCATCCGTCTTTGTTCGAAGAGAGTCACGGCCTCGGGGATAGTGATAACGCCCCGGGCCACTTCGCTGATGACCTGTCCCAGGAATGCTCCGTCTTCAATAGCCGTCCCCGCCCCTTGGGCCATGTGGTTCTGCATGGCATGGACTGCATCGCCTATCATGATGATATTCTTGGCCTTGTTGGACCAGGACGGCATTCGTGGTGTTTGCAGCAATGGCCAGCGTTTAGTGTACTTGACAAGGCGCAGAAGTTTCTGGATGAATGGGTGGAAATCGGCATAAAATCTATCAGGGCCATAGTCAGCGATGCTTGACTGTGCTTTTGTATAGTTACCCATAAAACTCTTCGACCTCGATGTCTTCCATTTTCGTCACGTAGTCCTTGGACTCAGCCGCGGTCACGACATTCAGCTCTCTCCCTCCGCATGTAGGGTAAGTCAGAACATAGCTATCTTCTCCGTAAGTATTTTCATCAAATCCATGGCCCGAACCAGAGAGTCTTCGCACCCTTTCGGTCCGACCCAAGTGTCCAATCTATTACCGACAAACAGCCTCGCTTCTGGTATTTCTTTGTATATCAGCGAGAATGGGAGAACACCTCGGTAGGCACATAGCTTGTTCGGCGCGTATGGCATGATGCCCGGATACAGATATTGTCTGACTGTAGACTTGAGGCCATCTGCGCCGACCAAGAGATCAAATTCATATGTCTGTCCAGAGGATGTGACGACCTTGATAGGGGTTGTGGTGTCGTCGATATGTTCAACTCTTGCCTGGATGATGAGCTTGGCTCCATGCTCAGAAGCCGCCTGAGCGAGTCCCGTGTAAAGGTGATCGCGACGCACAACCCACCATGGAAAACCTGCTTGTTTAGCGACTTGTTTGGGATCTGTGCGTCCGATAAGGCGGAGTTCGCTCCCGCTGTCCCAAGTGTTGAGCTCCTCCGGCACGATGAGGTCGTTCTCGATAATCTTGTCAACCCCCCAGCGGATCAATTGACGAGAGACGTTGGGATGAAGCTGGATCCCCGCTCCAATCTCTCCGATATCCACACCTTGCTCGAGGATTGTGACGCTACACCCACTCCGGGATATAGCAATGGCCGCTGTCAGGCCACCTATACCGGCACCAACAATACCCACTCGAAGCGACGGCATCTTGGGTTGTCTGTGGCCTCTGAACCTAAACTCAGACGGGCCCCCAATATTTATACCTCTTCGCTCCAGGGGGCACCAGGCTTCAAATATGTGGCAGGAAGTCAGCAACGGCGGGGTTGCCAGTCGACCAAATGAGCAGCGCTGTCATTGCTGTGAGGAGAATCGAGATTCATGGAGATCGATGGAGTGTTGGAGTCACGAAGTCCTCCAAGTTCCCAATCTGAGTACCTTGTACATAAGCTGGTCTCTCCCCGCAAGAATGACATTTGCCGATTCGTTCCGAGAGTAATTGGTCAGAGAGAAGCGGAAGGCCTCTCTCATCGCATCTAAAACGTGATGACGATGGAGAAAGAATTCCGGCGCTCAATTCCTCCGTATTTGCTTAGAGGTCTCACCAAACCCTTGACGGCCGAACTTGGTAATCACGTTATTAACTGGGTCTGGCCTCGGGAGCTCGAAACGGCACTTGATGATGTCCAAATTGACCACCATTGGTATGTACGCAGTACTATTATCAGTCAACTCTTCTTTAGCTCTTGTGCCTTTGGCTTTGTCTCAGTGGTAGCGAAGTCTATTCAGCCTGATCCAAAAGTTGTCAGAGCAGCAACGAACTACAACAAGCTGGCAGGATGACGGAGAAAGTTACAGTACCGCTCTCAGTGCCCGTCTGTAAGAATCAACGCCTTGCCTTGATGCATCCACGAATGCCGGGCTCATATCGGACATAGACATGCATCTCCTCCCCCCTTTGATGGCTGATACAATTTGTGTCTGGACCTCAGCGCGATTGTGCTTTGTCAAACCCCTCGTTCCAAGGGCATGTTGTTCGAGCTTGAACGTTGCTATGCTACCTAACTCATCTTAATTATTCTACTTTGCATCACTATTGGTAAGATCTCCTCTGCTGGGTTATCCAAGATTCACAATGGGCGAAATATTTTTCCAGGTTCGCTGCTTCGCCGTTGACGGTGACGGCTATCCTGTCGAAGGGCTGAGACGAAACGCTGAATGCTTCATCATGAACACTTTCCACCTCGTCTTCTCTACTCATGCACAGCCTAGCCACCTGGCCCTCAGTGCTTGTGTACTCTCCCTCTCTTGCCAAGGGAGAGAGGTACTTTTGAACATGCTGACCTGTTGGAGAGCGGCTGTATCTAACTCGAAAGGCCAACACGACCAGATTCCTCTCTGTGGCTGGGCCAATTGGACATCCTATAAGTAGCGAGTGCTTTCTAGTTACTGCTGAAGGGACCCTCGGTCGAGTTTTCATCAGGCACCTCTCTAAAGCAACTCTGCATAGCGTGTTCCTGTAGTCACGAAATGGCAATATCCAAGCTGTCTTTTAGGCTCTTCGATCCTCTTTCAGGCCCGACCCTGACAGCATCCTTGGTTGAGAGCGAGGACAACATCCAATGCAGCTGCGATGAAATCCACAGAAGACAATTTGTATCATCTCCATGGGGTGAACTATATACCTTGCTTATCCTGTGTCGATCAAGGGGGACTCGAAAACTGGCGTTTGAGATCTACAATACGTTTATTTCTAATTTACACAATGGCCCATTGAACCAAGTGACCCTCTTCTGGGATATGAAAAGAATCTGTGATTGTCAAGGGAGCGTTGAAGATGCTCCAGCCGAAGACAGTGACTGGTCTATGGAGGACGACATGGATATGGATGATGAGTTCCCTAGATGGATTCCCACTGGGTCCGAGCTGTCTGTACCGTTCACATCATTTACCCGGGCTGATTCCAACACAAGTCCCGGGTCGAAACCGGAGCGGCGAGAGTTTTTAATTCCACCTCAAATTCGAAAGGCACTGAAGGATGAGACCAAGAAGGAAGGAGCTCTGCGAATGCATATCAACGGGGGAGATCACAAAAGCTATCGGCGACGACCTCAGACCGTGCCGGCAAAGACGTTCATTCCGACCAAGCGCTTTGCCCGCTGGCTATATTTATATCCTGGCAGCCGACAGCTGTCCTGGGTTTCTGAAGATCGGATTCAGTGAAGATAAACCTGAGATTCGGAGGAAGCAGATTCAGAAGTGTTTTGAAGATGCACGTGTGGTCCATGAAGCCGGCGTTTCGATCTCACACGCACGGAAAGTCGAGAAGCTGGTACATGCAGAGCTGGGGCGTTTTCGCCGCTGGATAAACTGCGACCGGTGCGGTAAGGGTCATAGAGAATGGTTTGAAGTGGATCTTGATCTGGCAAAACAAGTCGTGATGCGGTGGTCACAGTGGATGGCAAGAGATCCTTACAACCAAGATGGGACTCTCAGTGAGGGCTGGAAGACCCTAGCGACTGTAGCTCTAACCGCACGCCTCGTACCTGGGATTGACAGCATGCTGAACTGGGACAGGTCATGGCAGCACTGGACAGAACTGATCCATCACGCCAGGTCGTTCTAATCTCATGTTAAGTCAACATAGAAGATGGACGTCTTGTCAAAGGACTGAGTTGGATAACTGGTGTCGTTTCAGGACTTGCATTTGGGAGGAGGCTTCGGTGATATACAGTAAATAGTAGTGTACGGCCGACATTTCTTTCCTGCTTCATACGAGTATGTACTGATATCCTGTCCCCTGCTCCCTGGTTGGAAAGTGAGCACACTACCCCTGTTTAATAATGGAAAGGAAGGCAAGGTGGCGCAGCCGTGCGGCCCATCTCCTAAGGGGATAGAAAGGGCGGCCCTTGGCACTGAACTACCTTGCACGTGGTGGTGTGCTTTGTTGTGGGTTGAAGCGCTAGAGGAAGTCGCCAAAGACTCAAAGAGGCGATGTGGACTCTGACACAGTTTTCTCGACAGACAGTACTACTTGTAGGTAGGTAGGTATGGAGCATAGCCACAGGCCAAAAGGAACCAATGGTTACATTGAGCAGTAAATTGGGTGGTTCAGGGGGGACTGGGCTTCTGCTTCTCTTTTCGGAAGTACTTGGCAACGTGGTGGAGCCTGAATATATTTTCTATTGGTTGGATTAGCGCCAAGCATTTGGTCAAGCTCCACCGCCGTGAGCCTATTCGCGCCCCCTTTTCAGCCCTCTTTGAGCTATTTCTTCTGCCTTCTCATCGAACTGACACATACAATTTTACTGTTATGCCGGTGGAAACCTCGCTTGTTGCCCATCCACGATCCCACTCGCGATCGCGTGCTATTTTGCATCCTGGGGCACGTATCCGAATGGTCCACGGCTCCTGCATCTTCACAGGGTTTGATTTCAAGGTGGGCCGGATCACCAGGCGGGTTGAATGAATGGCCTCTTTGTTCGGTTGTGGAAGCCTGACTCCTCTCCATGTGCCTCCACGCTCTTCGTCGTATTGGTTGGCTTCCCCCAGTGTTGCTGCCCCCTTGAGGCAGCTCATCTCCTTAACCGAGTCTATATTCGGACAATTTGCACAAAACGTGTCACCTACCCAGGCCTTACCTATGTACCCGTGTGAGGCGCTGCGTGGCGATGGCGCACAACAAGCACCATCGGCGGGACTTGCGCATAGCACGGAGTCCAGACACCCGCAACGGCGATGCACTGTGTCAGGTTCTTAGTGTCATGTATAGGAAACATGTCTTGTCTTCTTCCCTTTCCATTCTTGTTTGCTCTGTGCTTTGCGCCATCATTTCGTTCTTTGCCTCAAGTTCGCGTGCCACTCTTTCAACAAAATGCCTTCCTCATCACTCCTTCTGAGGTCGAGCACCACACTCGTTTCTGCTTTGTTGTTGTTTTCCTCTGCTTCTGCTCATTCTCCTAATACTTATTATGCTCTGGACACCGAATATTCTGGAGACAATTTCTTCGATGGCTTTAACTTTTTCGCAGTAAGTTGAATGCAGCTCTTCGCAGGTGAATTTATGCTGACAAGCGCTAAGGATGCCGATCCGACCCATGGTTTTGTCACGTACGTTGATCGATGATCATTTCGAAATGGGGAACATTGACACCAGATAGTTACGTCGATGAAGCTACAGCTCAGGCAGATGGATTGATCACTTTCGATGGCGGCTCAACCCAGATGAGGGCTGATCACAAGAATACATACAACGGCAGTGCAGCGTACGCGAATATCAATGGCGTTGGGCGACCGAGTGTCAGGATTGAAAGTGCTAAGTCGTGGACACACGGCCTCTTTGTTGCCGACATCAAACACATGCCTACAACGAAAGATGGCAGCGGTTGCGGTGTCTGGCCAGCGTTCTGGACTCTTGGTTCCGGCACATGGCCCTTCAGTAAGTATTCCTCTCAGCTTTGGGGATCTTGGACCGGACCTTTTTAGGATCACGAGATAGACAAACTTTCAATTTGATCTCTTTCTAGGCAGAGAAGCTAACTTCCGTGATTTCTAGATGGCGAAATCGATATCATCGAGGGTGCAAACAACCAGGGTATTGACCTAACATCGTTGCACGTTGCCAAAACCTGTGTCGTTTCCCAAAGTTCCTCGGAAATGACTGGTACCTCAAACGGTAATAATTGCCAATACGATGTGGACACTGGCGCCAATGCCCAAGGCTGTGGTGCATTCGCCACCAGCTCTGCCAGCTACGGATCAGGCTTCAACGCCAACCGGGGTGGTGGTGGTGGTGTATACGCAATGGAGTGGACTTCGGACGCGATCAAGGTCTGGTTCTTCGCACGAAGTTCCATCCCCTCGGACATCTCGTCTGGAAACCCCGACCCATCTGGATGGGGACTACCATTCTCCGTCTTCGATGGCCCCGGCTGCGACGTCGACGCCAACTTTGCCGATAACAGGATCATCTTTGACACTACTTTCTGTGGCGATTTTGGTGACGCAACTTGGTCCAGCGGCGGATGTGCAGCCAGCACGGGCGAAAGTCAGTGCTCCATCTACGTTGGCAGCAACCCTGAGCAGTTCAAGGACGCTTACTGGGATGTCAACTACGTTCAGGTGTATCAATCCCAACCAGTCACGACGACGACGACGACGACAACAACTACGACGACAACGACCCTCGTCACTTCAACGAGACCGCCATACACCCAGCCAAGCAGCCAACCGGAAACCACAACCACCAGCCCGGTCGCTCCAACCAGCTCACCATTTGTACCACATACGATTCCTACAAGCAGCCCTGGATTCCCTGAGACAACCTCCTCCGCGCCATATGTACCACATACAACTACCACTAGCAGCCCTGGATTCCCTGAGACAACTTCCTCCGCGCCATATGTACCACATACAACTACCACTAGCAGCCCCGAACTCCCCGAGACAACTTCCTCCGCGCCATACGTACCACATACAACCACTACTAGCAGTCCTGAACTCCCCGAGACAACCTCCGTGTCGAGCTCCTTTTCCTCGGGACCCTCCTGGGATACCAGCAGCAGCAGCACCTGGGAAGACTGGACGTCAACGACATCTTCGGACCCAGTGACTAGCAGCACATGGGACGACTGGGCCAAGACCACAACCAGCTATGTTAGTTCAAGCACTACCAGCTCATCGAGCTCCTCAAGTTCCTCAAGCTTCAAATGGGAAGATTGGACCAGCTCCACAACTGAGCCCAGCGATCCGACAACGGCCTGGGGCGACTGGAGCTCGGTCGTGACCGTCACAATTACCAGTAAGGCATTAATCTCACCCTGCCCTTCATTTCTTTTATGAATATGGAATGATACTGACCTTTGCTATCACAGAGACGTGGACAGAGCCGTGCTCCACCGGGTTCACGACCAAGACTACAACTGTCACGACCACTCACTGTGGCTGCACCGAGACGCCTGTTCCTACAGCGTGCATGACGACGAGAACATTCACGCCGTCGGCGGGATGGCCTTTCAGCACACCGATTGTCGCCAGCGTGCCATGCGCGGTTCCAGCCGGTAGCACCTCGCCCGTTGCAGCCACCTCGACTGCTCCAGCACCGACCGGCGGGGCCTGGGGTGGGCAGCCCGCTCCCGCGGCCTCAACGGTGACTGAGGGATCTTGGGGCGGCAAGCCTGAGTCTCCCGTCGCGGCGGCCTCCACCAGCACCGGCACCGGCGCATGGGTGAGCCCGAGCGTGACGATGGCGACCACATTGACCGTCGCGCCCGTGCCGTCGTCTGCGTGGGTCGCGGCCGCTTCCGCAACACCGGTCGCTCCTTACAGCGTCCCGAGCAACGGCACCAACGCCTGGGTTGCGACTTATACGGGTGCAGCAGGCCACACGACATCGAACGGCGTTGCCATGCTTGCCGCTGGAGCCATCGCACTCGGCGTCTTCGCTTTGTAGATGAGTGGTGGCGCTGCGGTCGAGCTAGGGGAAGGGAAAGGAGTTGGGGAGGGGGGAGAGGAACCCAAAATTAACGCCGTCAGTTCAGTTGTGCGAGGCATGATGTGGAAATATACACGCAGAAAGAATTGCGGTCCTCTCGATACTTACTCATGGGCTACAATCAATCTTGTACGATCTCTGACGGACTATTTCAATACCTCATTTCTTTTGGCCCCCTGATATATGTTGTGTATATGACACTAGGTACTCCGTATTTCTCAAGCCCATGTTTACGTTTTCGCGCGTTCTTTCTCATACATTTAGAAATTCAATTCAGAGCAGACGGTTTCATGAATGACGACATTCAATGGCCCTTTAAACGGCTTGGGGAAGAAGAGAGAAAGGAAGCAGAGAAAAACAGAAAGGGAGAAAAAATGAAGCACAGTTCTATTTGTTTCTCTGGGGGAGTCACCTGAATTTTTCGGAGTTGTTGAGGCTGAGAGGCCGAGTTTCATATTTTCAACAAGTCCACAAATTGTCTGTTTTGCTCTCTTAACGACCAGCCTATACGCAAACTCTGAACGGGATAACCCTGAATCCTTCGGGAGACACAGCACTCACATCACCCCGTATGGTTTTTGGCTTCCAGGTCCCTTTTCGTAATTATAGCAACCGCAAGAACCCTATAATACATTGTCACAGTTTGACCCCCAAAATGCTGATGGCTGTCAATGTATAATCAAGACGACCTGCGCACAACTATGTGCAGTGCAAACCAGCCTAACGTCTCAGTCAATCCAGGAAGAAGAAAATGCCAGGTGATTCAGAATTCCCAAAAACTTAAACCCAATTACTCTCCCAGTCATAATTTCATACCATCGTTTTAAGGTCATGCATGCAATCGGTGTATCAGACAGACAAGAATCCAGCAGTGGCTTAGGAGCCGAACTTAGATATCAAGATCATCGGTTCTTTCTGTTCTCCCACCCGTTCATAGTGCGTCTGATTCCAAGTGTCTTCCTAACAACGCCTGAAGCAGTATGTGATACAGAGAGCCCACCATTTCCGATCGAAGACATACTAGTCTTGTGCAATGTAGTGGCTGGCTTGGCAAGGACAGAATTGGTCAATGTCGTTGCATTATTATCTGATCCTAGGGACTTCGACCTCCCTGTAGCCCTCGAGGTCTGGTTCTCACCTTCCGGATTGTCTAGAATCCCTTGTTCCCTCTCATCTGCGGCGCAGGGAGGAGGTGATGAACTGTACAGCCCAGCATACCGGTTTTTGGAGTTTGTGCTTGTCTCTTTCAGAGGTGCAGGACGTCCATAGATTATGCTGTTGCGAAAGCTCAATTGATGAGAAGAAAACTCTTCGGGGATCCCTCGCTTGGCGATATCTCGGTCTCTACGGTTTTGATAAAGAGCGCCTTCATAACTTAGGTCTCTGTGTTGATCTACCTCAATGGTGTGTGGTCTCAACGCATCTGCCGATGGTTGCTGTGCTTGGGCAACGGGTTTCGAGAAGAAGTTTCCGATAGTGCCTTGTCCTGAAATCGACTTTGAGAGCTTCGGCTTTTTCTGAGGCGGGAGTGGATTCGATGAGGATCTCCTGAGTTTAGCGACACTTGTTTTGAGCTGATGGCTGGCAGTGGTGAAGCCCAGCGACATGTTTGACGTAGAGAAGGCGTCGACATTGCTCATGGTGGTGACCACCCCAGAGCCAGCAGAGGTTGACGTGGCATCTCTTCTTGGAAGGGTAGAGTAGCCTCGGCATTGTTGTTTGTGAGCGGCAAGGACCTCTGCTAGTGGCCTGCCGAATTCTGGCGTGCCCCGTGTGTCGCTTGGAAGCATTGGCGTAGGTCGGCGGCTGCCATCACTCGGCCATATGTCATCAGCCGGACTTTCCTCGCCCTTGATGCCCTGTAAGCTCTTTGCTAAGTCTTCCTGTGACGGCATGGGCCGTCGAAGGATGCTTGCTATATCCTGGATCGCGTGATCATGAAATAATGGACCAGTTTGAGCGAGATGATGGTGGACTTTGGGTGGGAGAAACTGAGAAAGAACGGATTCAGCCTGATCCCGGGATTGCAATACTGGGAAAGTCATTGTGAGAAGAGTCTGAGCTCGTGTCATTGCGACATAGAGCAGTCGCCGCTCTTCATCGGTATTGTCGGCTCGAGAATGAGGAATAGACCCTTCATAGATAGCTGGAATAAATACGACAGGCCACTCAAGACCTTTTGCAGAGTGAATCGTCGAGATGGTGAGGCGAGGTTTGTCATTGCTTTCTTCGGCATTTTTAACATCGGTCGAGAGGACAATATTAGCCAGAAATTGAGCAAGGACTTCCTGACCACTATTGGAAATTTGCTGTTCCACACCCTCAACAGCCGCGAGAGGCTTTTCGGCCGCATTCTCTAGCAGGACCTCGGATGCGTGCGTAATGAGTTCTTTGACGTTCTCGAGTCGATCTTCATGATCATCTTTGTATTTTTTCTTCAGATAATTTTCAAAGTCCAAAGACTCGACGACGAAATCAATCAACTTCGTCGGAACCGTGGCCGCCGGGTGTACGGTATTCATCTTTTGTCTAGCAGTCCGGATGAGACTAATCAAGCGGCCCAGTTCCTGCTCTGCCGGTTTCGAAAGCCTCTTTTCAGGCTTCAGATCCCCTGTGAGGACTTTTTGCACAACAGCCCAGAGTGAGAGTTTATGGTCTTCCCCAAGTTTGACCATTTCAGCAATCGAAGTCTCTCCGATCTTGCGTGGCGGCGTGTTTATGATTGCAACGAAAGCCTGATTATTGTCAGGATGGCTGATAGTGCGCAGGTAATCGATGATGATCCGGATTTCGACACGGTCAAAGAAGCGCTGACCCCCAACCATGCGATACGGAATGCTGGCGTTTGTCAAAGCTCGTTCAAGAAGCAATGAGAGATAAGCTGAGCGAAGGAGAATAGCGAAATCAGAATATAGAAGTAGGCCTCCAGTCATTGCCATCGTTCTCTTGATCTCACTAGCAATCCACAAAGCCTCCTCATTAGGATTAGGCAGACGTCGAAGCACCGGCTTAGTTCCATGACAGTGGATCGCTTTCATTTTCTTCTGGGGGCGGTTGACGTCTTGTTCAATGACATCCTGGGCAAGTCTTAGCACGGCCGACGCCGAGCGATAATTTTCTTCCAAATTGATGACCACTGTTTCAGGGTAGAAAGCTTTCATTCGTCGTAGATTCTCGATCTCCGCAGACCGAAATCCGTAAATGCTCTGATCTGGATCACCAACAATGGTGATCTTTCTGTTTGCAGACGCCAGTAATTTCATCAGTTCGAATTGCACAATGTTGGTATCTTGGAACTCATCAATCAACAAGGCTTCGATGTTGGACACGCAGGCTGGATATGCTCGCAGAAGATCAACACATCGCAAGAGCAGGTCGTCATAGTCTAGTAGTTTGGACGTTGCCAATGCCGCTTCATATTCGTGGAAAATGGTTATAAACTCTTGCTCTTTCAGCTCTTTCGGCGGTTTCTTCGGCAGGTCTTCCAGCTTTTTCCCTTTAGCCTTGTGACTCGAAATTCTGGCTCTTGCATTTTTGGGTTCGATCGACAGGTTGAGGCGCTTGACGATGCGCTTGATTATGCTATTACTGTCTGAGTTGTCCGCAATTCCAAAACCTTTGGGTATTCCAATGAGGTGGCCGTACGCGACCAAGTAACGGCGACAGATAGAGTGGATAGTTCCGAGGACCAGCTTAGATTCGAGTTCACAGCCAACCAAGCCTCTCAGTCTTTCCCGCATTTCCCTGGCAGCTTTGATGGTAAACGTGCAACAGATGACATTTTGCGGATTGTGTCCATAGTGAGCAGTGAGGTAGGCGACGCGACAGGTCAAAGTCTTAGTTTTCCCAGACCCTGGAGGAGCTAGCACTTGGAGAACTGATGCCGGCGAGGTGACTGCAGCTCTCTGAGCGGCATTGAGCCCTACTAGGAGCTGCATCTCGCATGGAGGTCGAGGTGGACATTGATCCAGTGTCGAACAGAGAGAAGACGCGCAGGAACGCGTCGAGGCGTAAAGCGACGATCACGAAATCAGGTGACCGCGGGACCTCCTCGCTGCCTCCCGTATTCCGCATTGATCATCCTCAATCACCCTCCTTAATTGTAACAACAGCAACATCAGAAAAAAAAAAAGAGCTATCAAAGAGACAATTCTGCACCCATCATGATCAATCGCACTTCAGTCCCCAGTATCTCCATGGTACCGCTGAATTAACCGCTATCAGACATCCGAATTTGTGAGCAGGGACGGGAAGTCGGAGAAACAACAGAACGGCCAATGCACCCAAAGCTCTGAGCACATTCTAGCTTCTACGCATCTAGGAAGGACACGTTTGCAATCAGTTGGCCATCCATCTGAGAGCGGAAACCCCACCATTTCTTCATCAGCCATGAACATATCAGTAGCGCTGAGAGTCCGACAACCGAGAAGGCAGAGAGGGATCGGCGGTGTCCCGAGCTAAATCGTCCTAGAACCTTGGTTGAACGTCAAACAGAGAGCACTTTTCATCTACACTAAGATGAGGCACTGCACCTGGATCGCTTCAAGACCCCACCTGAACCACACCGGCAGTCTTCTCAAAGATTTGTCACGAAGCAGCCTGTCTTTAATTCAAACTTCGAAGATGTCTGCATCTGAACACATGAGAACGGGTCCGGCATTAAAGATACTGGTACAACCATGGATAGCGGATGAGCTTTGACTTCAGTTCCTTCAAACTCAAAGGATTCCTGGTCACTCTGGCCAATGGTGTGCCAGAGCTCAAGGCAAGAGAGTATGGTTTTCTCCTTGAAATGCTCTCATTCAGTGTTTTTGATGTGAATACGTGACAATGAACCAAACAAGTGCCTGAATAGACATTTTCTTTGACGCTAAAGACAAAATGGCTGAGTCTCCCAAATGGAGTGAAGAATTGTATTGGATGAATAGGGATGTCGTGATTTGGTTCCAGCTATTGTTCTTTTCAGAACCAAACTTGACGGTGAGACACATTGACCCGCTCCTTCTGATGACTCCCCATGCAGAGTACAAATACAGGCTCGCTCCTTTCCTCAGCTCCTGCTCCGCTCACCAGATCACACTGCTCTACATACTCGACAGACTCAAGACTCAACAGACTCAACCTCCGCTTACACTCAACAGCAGCTCAGCTACAACGACAGCTATATAAATAGCAACATACTGGTCTTTCTGCAGGCAACTCTTCAACAACAACACAACGCCTACATCTTCATTGATCACCATGGCCTCCAACACTTTGTCCTCCAACTCCACTCAGCAGCTCACCAAGATGGGCAACAACACCACTTCTACCAACCAACCGCAGAAGTTGGATCTGGCTACCGCCCAAAAGAGTTCCAATCAAGCCGTCCACAAACAAGCGGCATCCACCAAGCCAAACAAAGTCGTCAAGCCATGCCCACGTGAAAAGGCATCCCTCTTCCACAAGCCCCAAAAGCGAGGCCCACTTGCCGCCATGGCGGCCACCAAAGTCAACACTCTCGGCAAAGACAACGAGAAACACTACGACCTGGTTGCTGCAAAGTTGCGCTACCACAAAGACACCTACACTGTCCCGTCTGCTCGTGGCTACGCGCCAAGAACTGTCACCAAAAAAATGGCGGTTCCCCGATTTCTTATCTCTCCAAGACCAGTCGTCAACTCTGCCTCAAAGGAGCTGCTAGAGTTGATAGAGCAAGGAAGGGCAGAGAAGCAGAGACAGAAGGAGATTGACGCGCTGTTTGACTTCGACAGCGACAACTGAGGGGATTGAGAACGAGCAGCAGCAGCAACAACAACAAGGCTGCTTCTCGCCAATGCCTACTGCAAGAGAGACTTCCGCGGCAACACAACACTGCACGGAAGCGATGGAGAAACTCAACTCAATACCTTCCACAAACACCAAAAACCGCTTGCACTACGTCGACTCCCACGACTCAAAGGCCAACCTCAACCTCAATCACCACCAATCTTGACCTCAATCATCCTGTCAACCTCACGAACCAAAAACATCCGTACCACAATAACACGACAGCCAGAAAGGAGACAAAGCAGCCTAGAAACGAGATACACCCAGAATTGTTTGCCTACTTGTCAATTACAAATCGGCGTTCGTCACTTACAACGTTCGCGAGGTGGGAGTAGACCGTCAACGGTTATAGCCCAACCAACAGCCATCGTCAGTGGTCAATAGCCACTTTCGGCTCAAACCCAAAAGTAAATGACAATGCTGCTTACGGACCCCTGTCCACGTTCGGTGGTGAACTGGAGATGATCGAACCAGGAAGCCTTCCTCCAGATGAAGTGTATGGAGATCGCCAAGGACAATTGGAAGAGCTGCGAGAAGGTTAGCCATAGAATGTGGTCCCCTCTTGCTGAGAGACCTGACTTCGGCGTTTTTGTTGTGAAGACGGCCGCCATGTTCAGGAGAATCGACACAGAGGAGGTAGCTGGCGATGGCAAGCACGCCATGAGCATCACGAACTGAAAGTTGCTAGCGCAACCGAACATCAGATCTATGGCGAGAGCAGTGAAGTGTATGAGGCCGTGACAGATATTGTACAATGTCTTCATTGTCCTCGCAAATTCACCGTCTCGCCTTACCTCGCCCCAACCGCGATCATCCGAGATTTGTCTTCAATAATAAATGACAAATGACAGTCACAATAACTGCCTCTGGATTCACCGCGTGTGGTTTCTCATCTTTGATTTCCCGCCTGTATGTATATCCCCTCGACCTCTTCCGTCTCTCTGTCCCTCCCATCTCTCTGTCCCTCCCATCTCTCTGTCCCTCCCATCTCTCTGTCCCTCCCATCTCTCTGTCCCTCCCATCTCTCTGTC